ATACAAAAATTTCAATTTCATTGATTTTACTATTGTTGATAATTCCAAAAGTTAGACCTATTGTAATGTGATTGTGAATCCCGGGATAAAGCATTTTCAACTTTTGAACAACATATTGACACTATTGAATCCCTGATATTTTCATTGCAATGTTATATTTCAACCCTGGGGATGCAATCTAATTGATTTGTGAAATTTTCTAACAAGACATTGCGGATTTATGACTCCGAAATTATAAATAAGATTTTATTTCTGACTAGAAATTCAAGGCGCTTCGCGCCCTTCTTTCTAGCCTTAGAGGGCGCTTCGCGCCCATCTTCTAAATTAGTTGTGAACATGTTCTCTTTGTGTACATTGTAAAACAAAACAAAAATAATTCGCGGATTTTCACAAAAAATTTCGCGGATTTTCAAAATTTTAAAAAATTTAATGACGATCGAATTTTGATGGAGACAAATATTTGAAATTTTGATTTTTCATAAACCTTCCCTGGGGTCCCTAGATGTCTCACAAAAAATTTGGGCCCGATCGGTTCAGCCGTTTTGACGTTTATTGGATACAAACAGACAAACAGACAGACAGACAAGCCAAATTTATATATAGAAGTCAAAATTATGGTTAAAAAAACTAAATAGATTTACAGCTTTTCAAACCTTAAAAAAGGTTGATTTTTGTAATAGATAAAAAAATATATTACACTTCCGAGGCTTCCCAAGACCTTGTTGGGTTCTAAAGCATCACGAGCGTGATGAAGAGATAAATAGTTAGATCTCAATCCACTACGGATTATTTAATTCCTCTTTATTTAAGGGATCAAGCAATTATCCCTAAATTGGATATCGAGATCAATCATGGAAGATTAATGTTCTGGCCTCGAAAATAATAAACATAATTTCGCTAGAATAACAAATGTTCCAACGCCAAAGTTGTAAACAAGTTACGTCGGTTATTCCCTTTAAGATTAGTTTAAACATTAAGGAAAAAAGGAACTAAGTCGTTGTCTCTGAAATCTTCTATTCTATATATCTCTGCAACCTGATGATGTTACTACCTGTGATATTACAAACTTCGATTATTTGATCTAACAGAATGCATAGTTTAATATTTTAAGGTCTACTCATCGCATGGGCTGCAAAGATAAAGGAATTAAACAAATCAAGGTTTGTTGCAAAGTTGCAATTTCATTTAGAACTGGAGGATTGAACAAACAGGATGAGACTTTAAGAGACGACTGTACGGGATTTGTTTAGTTTCTTTTCTTACATTTAGGGTTCCTTGTTAACTTAAACTGGCTCATTTCTATTTATTTCTATTCGGTCGTCTTTCCAGTGTTATCCTTTGTGAGTAACCCTGTATTATGATCAGCATTAAACGATGATTAGGTTTATTTTTCTTTTTTTCTTGTTTTCCGGCGGCAGGTATCCGATAAGGCTCACTAATTGATCAATAACATAATATAATAGACGTTTAGGTTAATTGCTTCTACTTCATTAACTATTTAGACTAGAGAGATAAATTTTTCTATTATTCAGGGAAATCAAGAAAACAGTTATTTTTTTTCACAACTGAATTTAGTCTTTTTACTTTTACTACGGTTTTCGAATGAGTGATCAAAATATGACTTTAATTATTACGCTATACAGACAGGATACATTTTGGTATAGTTTAAAGTGTCTGATACAGACAGGATACATTTTGGTGTAGTTTAAAGTGTCTGATACAGACAGGATACAGTAGTTTAACGTGTCAAGCTCTCATACATTTAATTTACCAATGAAGTATTGTTGAAATGTTTGCATTTTAACTTATTGAAGATATTAAACCAACTCTTGCTATAAAAGGAAGAATTTGGTAGTCAAATTTGCATCAAATTATTTATTTCAAAAATTTAGGCTATTTTTACTGCAAAAGTTCAATATAATTTTATAAAGAAATTAATAATTCTGTTTGTTCAGTATTCCCGTGTGTCAAGCTATCAATAATATCCTGATAAAGACAGATTGTATTTTTCATCTTGATCTTACAGACTGCTTACTAACTCAGGTAAACACATTTAACCTTAAACAAAGTTCTTGAACAGGGGAGGGGGAGGGGGGGGGATTGAGGGGCCAACCCATTTTGTTTTCTTTGAGTATAACACAAAAAGCCTTCAAAAGATCAAATTTTACATACTATTGGCTTTACACAGAAAAAAAACTATTCCTTTGGTAGATAAGAATGTTTTATAATTCTATGTAGATATCATTTGCCTGAGTCCTTGAGCAAACTATAGCATTTGTTTATAAATAAACCAGTTCTAGAAGGAAAAAAACAAAAGAAATTATAATCAAATTTTTCCATTTTTTGTATATTTCAAATATTTTATAAAGCGGGAAAAAAGGTTTAATTGTTTAGTTTATTGTTGCAAGTGACGGTGACAAGTGGAAAGAGGAAAATTTTGGGAAATTTATTAAACATTTTCAAATTAATAATTAGATTGTTTTTATAAAACTTGTTTGCTCCAGATTTTAAAATAAAAATGACAGCATATATAAATATATATAAATATATATATATTTATTTTTCTTTATTTTAATGTTACTAGATCAGTACATTTTTGTGTTACAGTATTATTGATCTTTTTTTCTATGTTTTTATGATTCTTGATCATCATATTTTTCTTTGTTTTAGAATTCTTGAACAATATTTTTTTTCTTTATTTCAGGATTCTTAATCTTGATCTTTACTATTCTTTGGTTTATGATTCTTTATTTCTTTATTTTTAGGATTCATGATCTTTAATTTCATTTGTTTTAAGATTATTGATCAATTTGTTTTAAAAGATTCTTTATATATAATTTTCTTTAGGATTCTTGATCTCTTATTTTCTTTGCGCATAGAATTCTTGATTTCTATTTTTTTTGTTTTTAGAATTCTTGATCTTTCTTTGTTTCAAGATATTTGATATTTGTTTTCTTTATTTCAAGATCCTTTCTTTGTTACAGAAATTTTAAACTTTAATTATCTTTGTTTAAGGATTGTTTGTTGCTTCTTCTGTCTGGATTATACAGAAATGTTTCTGTCCACACACTTTCATTAAAAGGTGATAAATAATACTTTAAGTAAACAGTGCTCAGTTGACTACGGTTTACAGAGGTGGTAATAAACTGTAGAATGGGAACATTGTAATGATTTTAGCTGTCAGTGAGAACCAGAAAACTAAAGAATATGAAGACGATATTAAAGCAATACTTAAGTGCATTGATATTGTAACAAAGCAAATAGATTTATTAATCATATTCCGACTTGATGGGGGGGGGGCCATGGGACCACCCCCCTGAAGTTTTTTTTTTAATATAAATCAAAAAGCATTGGTCTGTGGCTGTTCAATTTTTTTGACTTTTTTAGCTAATACAAGCCCCTCACTTTAGACTCGAAGCTGGGTTTTTATACCTACTGCGTGAATCCTCAGGCAAACTGCCTGAATGCCTTATTTTACCTTTACCCGACTAAATCTATATTTTTAGACTTACTTCCGGTTATTGGATTTGACTTTGTTTAGCTCTTTGGAAAGCCTTAAATATAAAACGAAGCAGTTGCTCAACTTTTGCCAAGACATTTTGTACAGATTTTTGCACATTTGCCATTAAAGAGAATTTGAACATTTATATTTTATTATATTTCGTGCACTTTTTGTATTTGAACTTTTTTGCTAAATAACTTAATATTGCAATAAATATTTTAAATTTTGCAAATTTGCAATTTTTTTGTGCAGATTACTAGTGTTGAGCTCAAGGGCTTTCAAAAAAAGCATCAAATGTTATAGATTTGCATCACCAGACTTTCTTATTAAGTGAAATGGATCTGTTTACATTGTGGTTCATGTTTATGGGACTATTTCAAGTCATAACTTGTGTCTAAAATTCGACTTCCTATTCCAGAGTTTTCTGGTTATCACTGTAGTCTAGAAATGGAAGATTTAAACAAAGCATCATTAAGTAAGATTTGTTTAAAAAACTCATCTTAAACTTTAGAAGATTATTAACTTTTATTAATATTATTTACTTAAAGTAACATAAGATTTAATGTCGTCTTCCTTTTCCACAGTTTATTTAGTCCCACTTCAGTTTATTCATTCTAAACGAGGTAAACAAAATTAGGAATATAATAGAAATAATATTCAAAATCAATCAAAAAATTCGTGAAAAAAAACGTTGTTTAGGACATTTAATATTCAAACTGAAATTATTGAGGACCTTTTTTTATAAAAATTAAGCAATTAAACCCTTTTCTAACAACACCTTTTTAGTATTGAATACATTTCCCTTCGTCTTAACTATGCAAAAGAAATATTACAATGTTAATAACTTACTTGTACGTTTATAGTTAAATATTCATAAAGTTGAGACGGTGGGAGGGGGGGGGAGGTGTAAAATAAAACTTTTACACTGAGTATTTATTTAAACAGTATTTCATGACGTTTAATTCATGAAACGACAGCTTAATTAAGCAATGTTTAACATTTTTTTTTAATTAAACAAAATTTGGTTTTTATAAAGTTCTTTAATTGACAACCTGTAAGTTGGGTAAATCATGTCATTTAGATGAGCTGTAAATTTGATAATCTAAAATTTTCGAGGTTCAAAAATTTGAATTTAATTTCTAAAGTATAAGAGTTTAATTATCAATAAAGGAAACTTGTAAATATTTTATCATTTTTGCAGATAAAATTTTACACTGAGCAGATAGAAAAATAGATGATTCTAAACTTAAATTAAATATTTGCAAATATTTTTATCATTTCTCTTAAAATAAGCATATTAAATTTAACAAATTTGAAATTCAAAAATTATTAAGAATATTCAGATTAGGAGATTCGTAACAATAAAAAATTAATTCTCATTTTTAATATTTTAACTGTTCATTATAAAAAGAAAAGAATTTTTTAACTACTAGTCGTCGAGAAACTGTACACAAGTTTTTTAGCACAGACATAATTGTCATTTAAATGTTAATTTTAGGTAATAATCTGTGCGGGATATCTGTTGCTGAACTAGGGAATCTTCTAAGTGAAAATAAGACTATTAAAAGGTAGTTTGAGATTTTAATTCATTCAAATTCGGTTTATTCTTTTATCACCTTTTTCACATTTCTTAAAATTTGTTTCCTTTTTCATTAAAACTAATAATCTAAAGTTTTTAGTAGATTGTTCCTTGCATTGAATCATATGTTTAGATTATCCTTTGAATTGAATTCATGGAATTGTATGTTTAGATTATCCCTTGAATAGAATTATATGTTTAGATTATCCGTTGAATGGACTCATATGTTTAGAAAAACTCTTGAATGGAATCATATGTTTAGATTATCCATTAAATGGCACAATTTGTTAAGATTATCTTTTGAATGGCATTATATGTTTAAATTATCTCTTGAATGGCTCTATATGTTTAGATTGTCCCTTGAATGGAACTATATGTTTAGATTATCCCTTGAATGGCTCTATATGTTTAGATTATCCCTTAAATGGAACTATATGTTAGGATAAACTATTAAATGGAATTATATGTTTAGATTATCTCTTGAATGGAATTATATCTTTAGATTATCCCTTGAATGGCTCTATATGTTTAGATTATCCCTGGAATGGAATCATATGTTTAGATTATCCCTTAAATGGCACAATTTGTTAAGATTATCTTTTGAATGGCACTATATGTTTAAATTATCCCTTGAATGGAATTATATGTTTAGATTATCTCTTGAATGGAATCATATGTCTAGATAAACTCTTGGAAGGAATTAAATGCTTAGATGATCTCTTTAATGGAATTATCTATTTAGATTATCCCTTTAATGAAATTATATGTTTAGATTATCTCTTGAATGGAATTGTATTACAGCAGATATTAACTCATTTCAAACCTTCTCTTCAGGTAGTTTAAATACACTAAAAAATACTAGAATAGACACTTAAAATATACTGTAATAATACAACAAACAAAAAAACACTAGGAACACAATGCATAGACACGAAAAGTACAAAAAATTCAATTATTATTGAAAAATCTAATAACAGATATTTTAGAGCTCTCATTTCAAAGATCAGGTCAACAGATGTTTTTTTCCGAAAATCAAAATTTTGTTTACTAATCCTCTGAAATGAGTGCAGAGGCGTATTCATGGGTCTGTGAAGTTTTGGTTTTAGGGGGTTTGAGTCGCAACGGAAACTGAGCCCCCCTCCACCCGAAAAATGTTATTACCCCCTTGAACAATTTCCTAAATACGCCCCTTGTGAAATGTTAGAAAATTGCTTAGGTCAAAAGATTCATTATTTTGAATGTGAAATAACATATTTCTAATTGAAATCGAAAAAAAAATCAGTTTGGTAGATTACGAAGAAAAATTAATATTTTGTTGATATAGTAAATATGCAGTAACTATTTTAACATTGACTCTTTCGGTGAGTATTTTCTTTTTGTACAAACAATATGAAACAAAAACAATTAAAGTTCCCGGTATTTCAAAATTTTACAAAATATTGGAGACAAACTTTTGAAATTCTACGCATCCCCTTACCTGGGGTCAATTGAGGTCCCACAAAAAAATTTGCTAAAGATTTAGCCGTTTGGACGCTAAAGAGATAAGCAGAGTAAATAAATAGATGAATATACATGGACAAAAATATTTTCTAAAACTTCAGGGCTAAATAAATTTGCCCTTTTTATTATTTTCTGCACCTCGAAACTTCACAATTTTGAAACAAAGGGGAAATTTCCAAGAAAAACATTAATTAGAAAAGACAAAAAGCTAAAATTTGTTACCAAAATAAAATTCCTTTTGATTTAAAAAGATAAAATTATGCTTAAAATCTCACGAAATATATCGTCAATAATTCTGTAAAATTTTGAAAAATTTAATCAAACATTCAGAGACAGAAATGCAGTTTATTCAGTTTGGTTGTGGTATTTATATTTTCAACACTTTGCTTTAACAATCTTAAACATGAAAACCAAAAAGCTTTCTTTCTCTGGTTCATTTTATGGAAATTTGGTCTTGTTGAATAAAGTAATCGGAAGGAGGCTGAACGGGAGGGGAGTGGGGGGGGGTAAATTTTTTATGCCATGTGTGGCCTCTTTTTAATCTATGGTGAACATATCCTGAAACCCATATATTCCCAGCTGAGCTAGGGTAAAATTTTTACTATTTTTTTTATGGGTTTAAAAGTAAAATATTACCCCAGCTGACTACACCTTTCAATAATCGCGCATTTTTTGCTATGAAGTTACCACATTCTTTTGAATGATCATCTTCCAGCATTAATATTTGGGAAAGTCTTGAATCCTCTCCAAAAAGAAAAGTTTTTGGTTCAAATACTTTATACCTCGCCTCCCTTCAACCGGTAGGGTTATAAATAGTTAATAATCACATGTCACACCAACATGGCTTTGAGTTCTCACCAACTTTTTTCCATTTTTTCATTTTCGTTTAGTTTCAATAAAAAAGACAAAACAAGATTTTGCTTTTTGTTTTAAATTTATTTTTGACTGAATATCCGATTTAGAGCGAAAACACAAAGTCATAAAAATGACTTTTGTTATTTTCGTTACTTTTCACAAGTCAGCACTAGCAGGGAGGGGGTGTAATTTCAAAAAGAGTTGAGCATGGACCTCTCATCGTTTTAAAAAAGACAAAGCTTTTAAAAGGTACCGTTGTGAATCAGATACTCCTTCCCCTCAAAAAACTGTAAATTATAATAATATAAATTGAATCTTAAAAAGGTAAAACTAAAAAAGTTCCTTGTTCAAATAATTATGACTTTTAATTGTCAACATTTTTCTAAAACTAGCTGTTATCATGTTAATCCTTTGTAAGCCTATATAGTTAGGTTTGCATTCAATTTCATAGAATATTCAACAAGTTTGGGAAAGGAATTAGATGTATTCAACTTTATAACATTCTTCATCCTTCAAATATAGAATAGCCTGTAGGTTAACTCACTTCATTTTCAAATATGCTATTCTTGTCTGGTGTGTGTTTTTTTGAAACCATTAAATGTAATTATTCCAAGCAATTAAATATTAAATTAGTTACCACACTCCTCAAATTTTATAGTTTTACTTTATTTATTCATTTTTGTTTACAAAAGACCAATCAGGAAGAATGGTAAAATTGTCTAAAAACAGATTCAATATATATCTATCTTTTTAAACTTTAAAAAATCATACTCGAACCTCTAAACTTTTTTTTTCTTTGTACATTTTTATATATAATTTATAATCATCAACGTCATTTTTAGTGAACTTTAAAGGGCACAATTATATAAAATACATTATTTTGTCTGTATCAGAAAATGCAGTCGCAAATTTTGAGAAATCTTTGTATGGATTTCTACACCAAACACAAGACAAAGAAAGCCAAATACAAATAAATAGTTTCCATATAGAAATCGTGTATGACACTTTAAAAAAGGGTCGTCTAAAATGTTGCTTAACGTTCTTAGATATTTTTTACTCTATGGTCTCACTAATAATATTTCTATACTTTATTGATCTTGTCAATTTAATGATATATACACCCTCATATATGTATGCATAAGATATAATAAGTATATGATAATGACCATTGGATGTCTACACTCTCTACAGTCTACAGACTAAAATATATTAAGAGGAGTGTTGTAATGAATAAGCTCTATACTGCAAAGCCAACATTTAGGCCTTACATATAGGGGGGACGGGAAGGGAGGGGGGCGTTGTGTTTTTTAAGTCCTTTAGGAACTGGAGTTGTATATTCAAGTTAACCCTCAATTTAAAGCAGGGGATGTCTTATTAAAAACGTTAACTCAAATATCATATTTTCATTGATGTGGAAGATTCTCTTTTTTAACTTAAAAATGATTTAATTCTGACAATTTCCTCTTTTGTTTCTGGAGTAGAAATCCGAAAGTAACATCTTAAAAAAAATCACATTTGCAAATAATCTTTTATTAAAAACTTAACAAAAAAATTTGGACACATTTCAAATGAGTAGATATACTGTAGTTTAACATAAATAAAAAAATAAATGAAGCATTATCTATTTTTTTATATTTAGGATTGGGTGTTAACAGTGGACTAGAATACTTGGATTTAAGAAACAACCAACTTTCTCACGTGGTAATAAAAACGTAAACATAACTTAAATCATGACAACCACAAATCGTAATTGATATACAATATATTCCTTTTCCTTTATGAAATACACATATATACTCACAAAAAAGGTATATAATAAAACAAAAAATGTATGTTACACAAAAGGTAAATTTTGATAATCCACAAAAGGTATTTACTTTTAACTCTACAAATAGGTACCCCCTTTCCCAGTCCTATACCGTTAAAGAAAAGTTATATAATTACACACAAAAGGCCAATAACTAAAACAAATACTAAAACTCCTTATCAGCATTATAGACGAAACTAGGAGATTTTTAACAAGTAGGATTAGGGTAGGGGGAATTTGCTTAAAATGAAATTTTAGAATTTTAAAGTTTCCTTAAAGATTATGGCATTTTTATCGTTTGTGGCTTTTTTGTCCTGTGAATATAAATTTAAATGCTGAAAACTATTTATTGGTTGAAGAATTCAATTTATCAATAACTTTCAATATTCTACTTTAGGCTGTATCTTTTCTGGTAAAAGCTTTGGAAACGAACTCCTCTCTCAAGTATCTTGGTAAATATAAAAATCAAAATGCAAAATAATAAATTCCTATCAATTCCTGGCGTTTCATGCCTCCTGTTATATCAAGGTTGTCTGAATCTTGTTTTTATAGTTAATGAAAATAAATTTTGTCAGATATTTAATTCTAAACATTTTTTGATTTTTTTGATAGAGTTTCTTAATATAAAACAATAATAATTATAGTAAACAAAAACTATTATTTTAAGCAGTTAATAGTTTTGTTGTTTTTACTGTAAGAAGATCGAGCTTCATGCGTTTTTATGGATTTATTTTTATTTTTAATTATTTTAATCCGAAATTTTAGAGAATAACAACATGATATTTTATTTTTAGATAATTAATTAATATTAGTAACCGAAAAACATTCACTTTATGATATTTTAAATATTCACATCAAGCTATACTATACACTCAATTGGAATAGAATTTAAAAAGTTTTTTCCCCAGACATAGTTTTTATCATTCTTTTTACTTCTAATAAGTTTAGCTTAGAAAAATAGCATGAATATGCAAAACATTAATTTATCAATAAGTTTATACAATAGTACATTATAATCCCTCTTCTCAGTGATTTATATTTCATGGTATAAATGCCCTTTAAAAAGGAATATAATTTTTAAAGTAAAAAAAGTAAAAAGTAAAGAGTAAAAGAAATACAAAAAAGAGAAGAAAAAAATTATAAGAAAAAAATTGAATTTTTTTAAGAAGATTAATATAGCGCAAAAAGTTTTTTGTTAACTCCGAAAAGTTTTGATTGGGTGACCCCACAATGTGTACAGAGTAGAATGTACATAAAGACTTATATTGGGTAATCTCTGATGGCTGTAACTCCATACAGAGTAAACACAGGGTAAACTAACTAGAACAATTGGAAAGGAAAATTGGGAGGGGATGGTTAGGATGTAGAGGGAGGGAGGATTTATGGCTTCGGGGGATCGCTTCTCGGCACTTAACTTAGAGTTTGGTCGTTTATTTATCTACAAAAATAAAAATAAAAAATTAGGCCTCAAATCTTCCTTCCTTCCTTCAAATCTTTACCTCAAGGAGATAATTAAAATGCTTAGATAGTTGGTTTATCAAATCAAAATATTTAATTAAATAATAAATATTTTAGATTTACGTTGGAACAATATTGGTGCAGTCGGAGGAAACTGTATCCTGGAGGCTCTTAACACAAACAGGTAAATATAAGAGGAAACTGTACCCTGGAGGCTCTTAACACAAACAGGTAAATATAGGAGGAAACTGTATCCTGGAGGCTCTTAGCACAAACAGGTAAATATAGGAGGAAACTGTATCCTGGAGGCTCTTAACACAAACAGGTAAATATAGGAGGAAAACGTCCCTTTCCATTTAAGATAGGTTAATTTTCAAAAATAATACATGTCAATATTTCGTTACCGACAAAAGCAATACATCTTCCCTGGGGTCATATGAGTATACTGCGTTTTGGAGTTTATTAATTTTAAAGCTTTTCTGTTTGTTTGTATCCAGTATGTTAATATATATGTAGATATATGAAGAATTTATCAACAACTATGATCTAATGTTTCATTCATATATTAATAAGAAGAATGTTTTCTCATCCATCCTTTTATACAAAATGACTTTCCCTAAAATATTGAACCAGAGACGGCTCAATTTTTTTTAACATTTCGTCAAATTATCAAAGATGTTGTTTTGAGTTCTTGTTCTGATTCTGATTACAAAGGAATTGAGTCTTTGCCACAAACTCTGATTTTATAATCACTATATCTTTAGAATCCAATTTCGTAAACCTTTGATATTTCAAACTTATATTATTTGATCTAACAGAATTCATAGTTTGAAATATCTAAGGTCTACGACATTGGAATCCAAAGATATAGGATTTAGAAAAGCAGAGTTTGTGGCAAAGACTCAATTCCTTTGTGAACAAATATTGAATGTTTTAAATCTTTCACAAGAAAAAAATTCAATGTATTCGACCATATTTTAAAATAAAGATATATAAATTTTTTTTTATTTAAATTAAATATCGCAAATAATTCGAGTATGAATTATCTTACTTAATTTAATAAAAATTAAAACTATTGTTAATCCTATAGAATTCCTATAAGAGAATAATTACATTGTTCACTGAGAAATGGAATAGGACTGCGATAGTGTTTTTAAGTGACCCTCCATGTAAAAATGGTGCATGCCGGATTCACATATACCTTTTAAACTTTTATCTTTACAATCATATGGAAGAAATTTAAAGGTCTGTTTTGGCGTGCGTTGGACATGCCATCTTATAATAAAAGGGTAGTTTGAAACTAAGTCTACAGACCCATTAAACAAATTTATTCTAGGAGTTTGCTAAAGATTGAACTTCAAGGTACACATGTTCCAAAGGAGACGTGTAATCTTATAGGTGAGTTAAGATCAACCATTTTCTCATGAATTTCTCACTCGGACTTGCCGGACTACATTTGTTGCATAAAACGTGTGACTAAACATTGTGTAGCCTGACTGGACAGTACGATAACACGGATTTACAGTATGTGTTGTACCGGCACGGATTTTGCAACTTTTAGACTTGGGTGTTCTATTATGAATGTCTAATCCCTATATCTTATATAACTTTTGTATTTCCAGGTATTACACCAAATAGTCTATATAAAACATTTCAATATAAAATAATAAAGATAAATTTTAAAATAAAATAATATAAGATATTTCTTCAGATTGCAAAGATACATATAGCGATTAGAAAAATAGTGTTTGCGTGGCCTACTTACGCTACCAGAAAGGCCAAAAGTGCTACGACTACGATAGGCTATTGGATACTTATCACATCAGAGAACAAGTGAATTGCAAAATCGGCATTTGCCAAAAATTGCTCAAGAAAAATTGACTCTAACAAAATTGGCTATACCAAAACTGACTCCAACAAGACTGACTCTAATAAAACTGACTCTATCAAGGTTGACTTTAGCAAAAATGCCAGTAGAAAAAATTTCTTTAGCAAAGTTGACTCCAATGACTCTGATGTAATTGACTATGGCAAAAATGACCCTCGCAAAATTGACTCTAGAAAAACCGCTAGTAGCGCGCAAAAGCAGCAAAAACATGCTGGTGGCAAAAATGACTGTGTAAAATATGTTTCAGCCCTGTTTTGTTAAGATGTTAATTTTAGTTCCTCATTGTTTTTCCCCAACCAACTCGCTTCAGAAACTAAATTTTTCTCCCAAACTAAGAAAGATTATATATATATATATTTAGAATTTGTAATTGTACATTCTAGTTTATCTAAAATTCCTAATTATTTATCCCCTGGGCCCAGGAGTAAATGTGTATTTTACATATTGAACTTCCCAGTAACATTAACAACATAAATAAAATAAATTAATAGAGGAGACGTGTTTCTTTAACTTCTCACAGTGGGGCTGAAGACTTTTTGTTGTACCAACCCGGGGACTATTATTGTACCAACCCGGGGACTATTATTGTACCCAACCCGGAGACTATTATTGTACCCAACCCGGGGACTAGTATTTTCAGAAACTACATGTCTCTACGAAACTAATTAGCTATAAAATCAAATTCTCATGTGGGGATTTTTTAAATAAATTTTGTTTTTAGAATTGGTAACAGCATATAAATCTACTGCTGGACAATTCCATTATAGTCAAAAATCATTGTTTTTGGCAGGCTTTCCATTATTCAAAGCCTTAGAAAAATACAGATATTGAAATAAAAAGTAAAGTGTTGTTCAAGGGTTAACGATAATGTTTTCAAAATTTTTAAAATCTCTAAAATGTTTGAAAACACTTTTTACTCTTAATGCCAGATTTTATTTTTGGCAGGAAATTTCATTTTTTGACTATCATTAAATAACTAGTAAAAAAGTGAATTTTTCTTGAAACATTTAACAATTTTAAAGCTTTGTAATGGAAAATCTACACGCAAAATGATGGAACATTTATCATAATTTTTTCAGGTTTCCTCTGAAATTTCCATTTTTAACTCAAAATCCTGCCTGGTTTTATTTGAAAAGTATTCTAATTTGAGGAGGTTAAGATAAAATGCCCGATTAGATTACTGATCTGAACTCTATAACTGATCCAAGAAGTAAAACTGAAAATAATGCAAACAAATTCTCTTAAAATTTGCATTTCTCTTTGCCAATTCTTGCCTGAACTGAAGAATGAATGTATCCTCAACAAACCAAAAATTTTAATATTTTTGCAAATTTCACTTTTTTGATTAAAGTATCCTAAACCGATGTTAATTAGCCAAAAGCATTAAAAATCAAATTTCCCACCAAAAATATGATCTTGCATTTTCTGTAAACAGGGTTTCCAAAAACTTTCAGAATTTTAAAAGTTTTGGAAACATCATCGTAAACCGCTCAATAATGAACATGAATAATGAACATGAATAATGAACATGAATAATGAACATGAATAATGAACATGAATAATGAACATGAATAATGAACATGAATAATGAATATGAATAATGAATATGAATAATGAACATGAATAATGAACATAAATAATGAACATGAATAATGAACATGAATAATGAACATGAATAATGAACATGAATAATGAACATGAATAATGAACATGAACCGCTCAATAATGCCTGAATTTGCATTTTAAGTTTTGGTTCATAAAAGGCCTTAAATAATGAAAAGCATGCCAAAGACGAGGAATTTCGATAATTTTGGAATTCTCCAACAATGTGCCACGTGTGGCTTAATTCGCTACCAATTCTAAAATTCGATTTATTTCAAAAATCCCGATAGGAGAATTTGGTTTTACAGCTAATTGGTTTCGTAGAGACATGTTGTTACAGAAAACAATAGCCCCCGCGAGTTGGGTACAAGAAGGTCTTCATTTCCTTTAGCCCACTGTGTACTCTTGCACAATAAAACAAAAAAGTTTAATCTTATTTTATTAAAATATCATGTTACACTTGACCTAAAATATTTTGTAAACACAACTTTGTAGACTGTTCTTCCATCTAGCTGAGAGAACATTTCATTTAATCGACTACCTCAGCAAACATTTATCGCTTCTAAAAACTTTAAATTTTAGAATGAAGTCCCAAACATATTTGGACGTTTTTTAATTCTTTTATGAAACTTGATGCGATAAATATTAAAGATTTTTTGACACCAGTTCTTTTGAACCTGTCACTTCAAAGTGTCGTTCAAACAATTTGTATTTTATTGAAAAACTAAAAAATATTAAATAAAACGAGGTTTTTGAAAATCTTTTGAAAATCTCTTTTATCGACTTCTCTCAGATCGAATTTGTGAAATATTTTGCTGAATGCAAGTGCACAAAATGTTGCCTAGGTCCATCCATGGATTGTTTTCCCTTTTTTGAAAAAAGATCGTTGTAAGACAACATTCATAAACAGTTACTAATCCTACTGAGGAAAAAATTGAAATTACATGTAAAAAGCAAAGTTTTAAACAAAAACTATAGTTTTTAAAGAAAACTCTCATATCGTTTTATCGTTTTTTTAAAAATTCCCAAAAACGGTTTGTTCCTTGTGACCAATCGATTTTTTATTAAAAGCAATAGTTTTTTTAGTGTTTGTTTAGAAAAGATCGATAACTCTGGCATTACGCAAGACAAAATTCGTTTAATCTGCTGCAAAACTTGTGAAAACGTATTAAAATTGGAAACCCCCGTCAGAATATGAGAAACTTATGATTTAGAATCTAGTCTGCAGTCTAATATGGAGAAGGTTCACCTTGGGCCGGATTTAGGATTAATAAAGGAAAAGACTGGGAGAGAAAGGATCAAAGAGAAGGTAAATACCATCATATTTAACCCTAATTTGCTGGTGTAGGGGGGGGAACCATAATCTTAACCTTAATTTGCTGGGTAGGGGGGGATCATCTTTGACCATAATTTGCTGGGTTAGTGGGGGGGAGGATACCATCATCTTTAACCCTAACTTGCTGGCAAAGGAGGGGGTAGTTTAAGACATGATACTTAGTTTAGAAAACCGAATTGCATATAGGGTTGAATTGCATATAGGGTTGAATTGCATATAGGGTTGAATGCAATTTTTTATATTTCGATAATTTGTTTGGCAATATTATTGAATATTCTCCTATCTTTTCACATTTCTCTCAAAATTGAGTTTTTCCATAAATGTAAATTTTCAAACCTTATATCTTTGCAACCTAATCATACATGTCTTTTATATTTAATACTCAGATTATTATTATCTAATCCTTTCATATTTCAAATTCAGATTATTAAATATTATCAGATTATCTAATAAAAAAAAAGTTTTAAATTTAAAAGTGCTTCAAAATTAAGTAGCAAATATATAGGATTAAAATAGCAGAGTCTGTGGTGAGAACTCAGTTTCTTCCTGGCTTGTGGGAGAAGGGGGGGATCATTAAACAGTTGTCCAGCCTTTTTATGGTTAAACTAAATATTTCTGTTTCTATTTCCCTGTAGTATAGAGTATTGAAACATGATTCAAGATAAAAGACAAGTTTTTTAAATTCTTATGAACCGAGAAGAGTTTAGAATAAATTTCTCAACATAAAACCTATCAAAATAAATTAGAATGAACTCAAGTGGTGATATAGAAACAAGTATATAAACAAAGATGTCTATCTATATACTAGAACGACGTTAGTTTATCAAAACCATAGTTTAAGTTACACAAAAAGCTGCAATGTCCTTTTATAGAAAAACGATAAAAAAAGAACAATACTGAAAAGTTAAAGGAATTGAGTCTTTACCACAAACTCTGATTTTCTATTTCCTATATCATTAGAACCCAATATAGATTAGTTTATGTAACTTAACTTATAATTTGAAATATATAATGTTTACGACATTGGGTAGCAAAGATATTGCGATTAGAAAATTATAAGTTGTAGCAAAGAATCAATTCATTGAAATGATAAAAACCATTTATTAAAGAAATAAACAGGATTCGTTTCACTCAAGATGTACACACAAATCGGCCGAAGGAGCATTCGACACATAATTTTTCGAATTTAGTTGACAAAAAATTGTCATTCATCAAAATTTGAATTCATCTTCAGTTGATATTTTGTTAAATGAAAATTTTATAATTTACGCTAAAAATGATTTTGCAGATTCCATTTAATTTCCAGATAATTTTGAAATGTAACATGTTTGAGTCTCTTCTCTTCCATTAATCCAATATCCTGGCCTTCTGCATATTTCAATTCAGTTTAATATATTCTATTTTTCTCCAGGAGCTGAGTACTGAAATGTTACGCAGCAAAGGTGCACCAGAAATCGAAGACGACCTGAACGGAAACACGCGGTTTAGAACAACGGATTTGGCGAATCACAAAATAGAGAGAGATCATAGAACAATAAACGGTGAACATAGAACTTCTTGTAGAACATCTGATAGAGAGGAGAGAACGTCCAGTAGAACATCGGACAGGGGAAATGAGCATAGAATTCCAAATAACGAGATTAGAATTACAAACAGAGAACAAAGAAGAACGGAAAGATGGTGTAGGAGAAGAAAGGTTGGATACAGAAAAGATGAAAGAGAAACTAGAAGTATGGACCGGGAAGCAAAACATGATTATGATTCAAATAGAATTAGCAGAAGCATGGAGTTCGAGTGTGAAGAAGAATTGAGGCCAAGTATCCAGGTACTGAATATTATTTTAAGGTTGTACAGTTTTCACTTTTTTAAACACAACTTTGATTGATTCATCAACATTGAAAAAAAAAATTTCGTTTTCAAATGATCGCGTATCGTTTTACAATTTCAAAAAGAATTCAATTGTTTTCATAATATTAAACGACTTGTTTTTAAAAAGGGTGTGGATCAAAGTATGAAAAAATTTTAAAATTCCTAATAGATGGGAAAAAGATGGCCATTCCTTGGAATAGTTGTATATTAGCTCAGTACACATCAAAGATACAGAACAGGGTTGCAACTTAATAACCTAAATTTCTTATTGGATTTTAGCCCTGAATGTTAAATTAATAAGACTAAAATTTAAATTTGCACCATCGCGAAGCATCGTCTCCATAAGTCTCATTTTTCGTGGAGTATTCTGTACCGAGTATGTATAGGTATCGTGGAAGTACTCTGTACCTAGTATATAGGTATCGTGGAGTACTCTGTACCTAGTATATAGGTATCGCGGAGTACACTGTACCCAGTATATTTGTATCGCGGAGTACCCTGTACCCAGTTCATAGGTATCGTGGAGTACCCTGTACCCAGTATATAGGTATCGTGGAGTACTCTGTACCCAGTATACAGTTATCAAGGAGTACCATGTACCCAGTATATAGGTATCGTGGAGTACCCTGTACCTAGTATATAGGTATCGTGGAGTACTCTGTACCCAGTATATAGGTATCGTGGAGTACCCTGTACCCAGTATATAGGTATCGTGGAGTACTCTGTACCCAGTATATTGGTATCGTGGAGTACCCTGTACCCAGTATATAGGTATCGTGGAGTACCCTGTACCCAGTATATATGTATCGTGGAGTACCCTGTACCTAGTATATAGGTATCGTGGAGTACTCTGTACCCAGTATATAGGTATCGTGGAGTACCCTGTACCCAGTATAAAGGTATCGTGGCGTATCCTGTACCCAGTATATAGGTATCGTGGAGTACTCTGTACCCAGTATATAGGTATTGTGGAGTACTCTATACCCAGTATATAGGTATCGTGGAGTACTCTGTACCTAATATATAGGTATCGTGGAGTAATCTGTACCCAGTATATAGGTATCGTGGAGTACTCTGTACCCAGTATATAGGTATTGTGGAGTACTCTATATCCAGTATATAGGTATCGTGGAGTACTCTGCACCCAGTATATAGGTATCGTGGAGTACTCTGTACCCAGTATATAGGTATCGTGGAGTACTCTGTACCCAGTATATAGGTATTGTGGAGTACTCTATACCCAGTATATAGGTATCGTTGAGTACTCTGCACCCAGTATATAGGTATCGTGGAGTACCCTGTACTCAGTATATAGGTATCCTGGGGTACTCTGTACCTAGTATATAGGTATCGTGGAGTACTCTGTACCCAGTATATTGGTATCGTGGAGTACCCTGTACCCAGTATATAGGTATCTTGGAGTACTCTGTACCTAGTATATAGGTATCGTGGAGTACCCTGTATCTAGTATATAGGTATCGTGGAGTACTCTGTACACAGTATATTGGTATCGTGGAGTACCCTGTACCCAGTATATTGGTATCGTGGAGTACCCTGTACCCAGTATATAGGTATCGTGGAGTACCCTGTACCCAGTAAATAGGTATCGTGAAGTACCATGTACCCAGTATATGTATCGTGGAGTACCCTGTACCCAGTATATTGGTATCGTGGAGTACCCTGTACCCAGTACATAGGTATCGTGGAATACTCTGTACCTAGTATACATTTATCGTGGAGTACTCTTTACCCATTTTATAGGTATCGTGGAGTACTATGTACCCAGTATATAGGTATCGTGGAGTACCCTGTACCCAGTATATAGGTATCGTGGAGTACCCTGTACCCAGTATAAAGGTATCGTGGATTACTCTGTACCCAGTATATAGGTATCGTGGAGTACTCTGTACCCAGTATATAGGTATCGTGGAGTACCCTGTACCCAGTATATAGGTATCGTGGAGTACTCTATACCCAGTATATAGGTATCGTGGAGTACTCTGTACACAGTATATAGGTATCGTGGAGTACTCTGTACACAGTATGTAGGTATCGCGGAGTACTCTGTACCCAGTATATAGGTAAAGGAAGGAAAACTGACCACTGAGTCTATACTGAAAGAGAATTTTACATATGATTTGCATTTAATGTCTTTAGATTGAAAGTGAAATCTAAGATTTTGATTTTATTTAGGGGAAAAGGGTTTTTGGGTAAGAGAAACGAAGAGGGGGAGGGGGTTATGAAAAAGTTTTTTTATTGGAGGGGGAGGGAGCTCCAGAAATTCTTGAATCAAACACTTGACACATTGAGAAATCTTTGCCTTGAAGTGAGAGGAGGCACTTTAACTGAAATTCAAATTGAATGTTAAGAATTTAACAAGGGTACAATCGTCAATATAACAATTGGTTTGCTTTTGCTTTTATAGCTTTATAGCATTATTTAGATCTGATGTATTGATAATTAAAAAAAAACTAGACAAAGTAAAATTTAATGTTTTATATTTGAAAGATAGTTTTAACTGTACCTAAATGTATCCGTGCAACAGTTTTGTGCAGTTTTATCTTCAAACATGAAAATCTGCAAAAAATCAGAAGTGCCAGATATCAGATTAGAGACCTACAAACACATACCTAATATATCCAAGTAGCTTGGGATGTATATCTGTGGCTATAACAATTACACACAAAAAGTTTTTTCTCTCAGAAAGAAAGCACAAAAAGTACATGTTCTAGGACTTTGAACTGAGTCGTCTTTCAAGAAGTGTTGAGGAGAAAAGTTGTGATATTCTCAAATTATCTGCAGCTCTAGAAATAATTCAGGTCAACTTATTTCAAATTAAACTCCTATCACGATTGGGGGTTTTTTTCTCAATAACTCAAAAACCTCTTTCACTACAGAGCTCAAACTTCATAGTTTAGGACAGATTTAGCAACAACTTTTGTTTTGATTGCATATGGTAGGGTAGAGGACGGTAGACAAAGATAGACAAAGATAGACAAAAATGGGCCAAAAGGTCATGTGATAGGGTTAAAAACAATTTTTTGTATACAAACTGTTCTCAAGAAGAAACTGTAAGCGTAATTTTAAGAGTGAAAAAGTAATCATTTTTTCCCGACAAATTTTGTACAGTGTATATTTGAGAAATGTAGGCCCAATCTTTTCAGCTGTTTCGGAATCTCCATGATAGCTTTAAAACTTTGAATGATCAAGGATAGCAGACTAATTCCTTAACCCTATAAAGGCTGGGAGGTCTTAATCTATATATAGACAAAGGTATAGGGTTGAAATGCATGTTCAGAGCCCAATTTTTAACTTTAATGGTCTGCTAGGGAGGGATAAAAAATGCCAAAAAAGGGGTAGGAAAAAATATTTTTGTTTTATTTTATAGACTAATATAAAAATGTGACACATGTTTTTATTCACTACATCCATTTTGCAAGGGCTTTTAATAATATAGTTTTAGACTGTAATATAGTCACAAAAAGGTTATGGGCTATTTTAGGTTTTTTTTAACATGGACCGGACTTTTTTTCACCCTGTACCCTGCACTATAAATTAAAAAAATTTTACACAAAATCCTAAAAATAAAAAAATTTCACATTATTAGTGTCAAAAATGTGAATTCTACGGTAAAACAACGCCCCCCCCCCCCCNCTTGTAGCAGGGTTGCTGACAGTTGTTTACAAGCCAACCTATTTGCTTGTAGCAGGGTTGCTGACAGTTGTTTACAAGCCAACCTATTTGCTTGTAGCAGGGTTGCTGACAGTTGTTTACAAGCCAACCTATTTGCTTGTAGCAGGGTTGCTGACAGTTGTTTACAAGCCAACCTATTTGCTTGTAGCAGGGTTGCTGACAGTTGTTTACAAGCCAACCTATTTGCTTGTAGCAGGGTTGCTGACAGTTGTTTACAAGCCAACCTATTTGCTTGTAGCAGGGTTGCTGACAGTTGTTTACAAGCCAACCTATTTGCTTGTAGCAGGGTTGCTGACAGTTGTTTACAAGCCAACCTATTTGCTTGTAGCAGGGTTGCTGACAGTTGTTTACAAGCCAACCTATTTGCTTGTAGCAGGGTTGCTGACAGTTGTTTACAAGCCAACCTATTTGCTTGTAGCAGGGTTGCTGACAGTTGTTTACAAGCCAACCTATTTGCTTGTAGCAGGGTTGCTGACAGTTGTTTACAAGCCAACCTATTTGCTTGTAGCAGGGTTGCTGACAGTTGTTTACAAGCCAACCTATTTTCTTGTAGCAGGGTTGCTGACAGTTGTTTACAAGCCAACCTATTTGCTTATAGCAGGGTTGCTGACAGTTGTTTACAAGCCAACCTATTTGCTTTGACTATGATAGACTTAAAACGGTTTATAAATAAATGACAGGAGGAGATAATGGCCTAACCTACTGTATGATAATCTGATATACAGTACGCTGCACGTTTTCGGTGTAGTTCATTGCCTTACATTGGTGAAGGATTAGCATACGCTTGTGCTCTTTGCAATATAACCTCGTTGGTTCTACAGGGGCGGATTAAAGGGGGGGGGCGGGGGACATTCGACCCCCCTGACAGATTCATGGAGGGGCGTAGCCCCCCTGAATTTGGAATTTTTTGTTCCTATTTTCAGAATAGCTTCTCAATAGCATGCTAAAGGGAAAGAAACCCAAGTGCAAAACAGGAAAACTATCTGTCTTAATAAACCATAATGTGTGAAAAGTTAAAAATCTAGTTTTTTAGTCTTTAGTAATTAATTTTGACCCTTTTTGAGTCTTTTAAGTCAAAATAATTTTCGATTGCGCCGCGATTTTTTGGTCCTAATTATGACATTTTTTGTTCCTAAAATATCTTGCCCCCCCCCCTCACTTAAATCTTGTATCCCCCCCTGTGGTTCTATAAAGCCGAGTTAGACGGCGATATACAGGATACATCCCATTCCAATGAGATTCAATGTTCCGAACATACAGGGTTACCCTCAAAGGATGAGACTGTAAAGACGACCTAAACATTTATAAATATGATGATTTTTATTTGATCGAGTTTCAGGGAATAATGAATATAAATCTCGTACAGTCGTCTCTGAAGTCTCATCCTTTATGGGTAACCCTGTACGTAGCTCTAGTTAGTTTTGTGTGAGCACCCTTTGGCTTTTCTTTACGGTTTAAAAAGCTGGAGATTAAAACTTCCAAAGAATTTTATTCTGGCAAAGTTGCAGAACTGAAGAGTTTTCTGCAAATATGCAAATAAATCTGAAATATCTGTAACAAAATGTCAATATTTATATTTTAATAAATTATATAAATTCAAATGTTATCCTAGATTGTGCTTACATAACAACAGTGAACATTCCGAAGAATCCTTTTCTAATATTTAAACCTTTTGTATTTTCAGGAAACTTTATTGATCAATAATATTTAAACAATTTTTCTACCTTTAACACATATTTGTAACATAAGATATTAAAGAAAATTCAATTTATAAGTTACATAAATAGAATATTCATGAGCTGTTCCACATCGTTGTATCTTCAAACGGAATTAATTTAAGTTTAGAAAAGTAAGGGGTCAATATATTCCTGGCCTGGGTTGGCTGGGAATACAGATTTTCAATAAATTTTAATAATTTGAAAATGTTTATTCTAAATCTTAAACTTTTAACCAAGCAAAGTTTTATCTTCAAAACTGAAAATATGTTTGAATATAATTTAACTTTTCAGCGTACAATCCCTAAACTTAAAAAAAAGTCATTAATAGATTAGAATATTCCGAATTCCGATACTTTTTGTATGGCAACCCTTCAATCCTTTGAAAAGTAAATATACTAGGCTTTTAGGGAGCTTCGCGCCCATCTTCTATTTAAATTGTGAACATGTTCTTTTTGTTTACATTTTAAAACAAAGAAGAAGAAAAAATTGAGGATTTAAAAAAAATCGCGGATTTTCAAGAATTTAAATATTTACAAAGTTAAAAACCTTTAAAACACATTTTTTTATTTTTATCATTCGTAAACCTTCCATGTGGTTACGTGATGTCCCACAAAAAATTTGGGCCCGATCGGTTCAGCCGTTTTGGCGTTTATTGGATACAAACAAACAGACAGACAAACAAACAGACAGATAAGCCAAATTTGTATATAGATAATTAGTCCTTTATCTAATTTATATTGAATTTATTTTTTCTCTAGGTTTTATATATTTCTTTATACCCTAATTTTATTGGAAAACCCAACTGATGGTGATCTAAAAGTATATATGCGTATTGCGTAAATCGATTGTTTTAGTAAAAATCAAAGACAACGTTAATTCAGTAAACCTTTAAAATTCTTCGTGTCGTCTTTTCAATAACAATTACAGAAAATCTACAGAAAATGTTTGTGAACAATGAGACATTACAGAAATAAATAACTGAATAAGATTACTTATTTTAGATGATAAGAATTAATTTTTATTTTCTTAACCTGTTCCTAAACATCTAATTGATTAACTGTAAAATTGCTGTTCCATTTTTTTGCGGTCGTCATTGAATAATCTAGATAAACGATTCTCAAAATCATCTTTTTAAAACGGACAATCTATGAGAATTTAAAAGATTGCATTAGCGCTCTCTTACTGAAGACAGACGCATGGAAAAAACGTCTCATAGGTCTCAAATGAATCATAAAATTTCTCTAAAATACTTAAAACTCAGCTAAACTTTCATATCTAGCCACTAGCCAGGCACTCCATTTTAATAGACTCTATTTGAAATGGCAGATTGAATCTGATTTTTGAAACAGTCCTGCACTGAAAACTCAGTTTTTTTGAGGTTCTATAGACCGACTTTTAGGCAGCAAAGAAAGTTGTATAGCATTCTTTATAGCAGGGTTGCTGACAGTTGTTTACAAGCCAACCTATTCTTGTAGCAGGGTTGCTGACAGTTGTTTACAAGCNAATCTCGTACAGTCGTCTCTGAAGTCTCATCCTTTATGGGTAACCCTGTACGTAGCTCTAGTTAGTTTTGTGTGAGCACCCTTTGGCTTTTCTTTACGGTTTAAAAAGCTGGAGATTAAAACTTCCAAAGAATTTTATTCTGGCAAAGTTGCAGAACTGAAGAGTTTTCTGCAAATATGCAAATAAATCTGAAATATCTGTAACAAAATGTCAATATTTATATTTCAATAAATTATATAAATTCAAATGTTATCCTAGATATAACATTTTTTTATGAAAAAGAATTTCATTATCAAAGAAAAGGAATGCTTTTTTTTGTAACTTCAAAAATATATTTAAATTAATGTTTTTAATAGAAATACAAAATGCAATTTGAATAATCAAAACTATTTTAATTTAGATTTCTTTAAATTGCCACAATTCACAACAATGGCATTTAACGTTATTTAATATATGTTTAAAACTAAATTAAACTTGATATCATAAAAAATGTTAAACTCAATTTTTGTTTTTAGTGAATTAAACAAATATTTATATGTTATTAACTTATCGTTATAAACAAAAATTTGAAGTGTGCTTGAACTCCAAAATGAACGAGTACAACAACTAAAAGAAAGAAATTGAGTTTTTGCTGCAAACTCTAATTTTCTAAATTCAATATTTTTGCAACCTGATGATTTAAACATTTGATATTTCAAACTTAAATCTTTTTATCTAATCCATAGTTTGAAATATCAAAGATCTACAACAATAGGTTACAAAGATATAGGGTTTAAAAAACTAAGTTTGTGACAAAGACTCAATTCCTTTTCCTTTACCAAATGGAAAAATCTATTTTCATCTTCTCACATTAGAGATTCTAATGAAATTAAGTTTCATTCCCTTGAGCTGAAAATGGTTCCCGTAATTTGCACAGGATAACCCAGTCAGAGATGAGCACGTTCGTATTTTTTTCATTTCGTTTGTTCATCATTCGTGATAGTGAACGGCCCATTTTATTCTTTTTTTTCAATTGTTCAAAAAAATTGATTTCGTTGGTTCTTAAAATTAGACGTAAAGTAAAGTAAAAAAAGATTGTTTATTTTTGAATTTTTTCGTTCGAATTTAAAAAACGATGTTTCTTTCAGTTTTCTGAACGATCCAAGTCGTTCGTTTTTTTTCTTCTGAACGACACGAAAAATTTCGCTCGTTCAGAAAAACTATCCCCATCTCTAAGCACATTAGAATAAGATTTCGATGCAAAGACATAAGAAAAAGACAAGTTTATGATAATTCCTCCAGGCATTCAAAATAATGGTAACAAATTTCAAACTCAACTTTTCCTATTTCTTATAGAATGGTCTTCAATATGGGATCAATATCTTACACACCCCCCCTTTTAGTTTTTTGCTATACCACTTCTTTATTAAAAGCTTTCAACTTTTTGGGGTTTTACAAAAGTTCGCTTTCTTTTTCTAAATGATTTGAGATACAGTCAATTTTTCTGTTTCTATTATAGGGGTAAAAAAGATAAAAATATAAATTTAGAAATAATTTTGTAAATTTTTAAAATATATATTTTTTTTAATGCAGAGGGTCCAGAATACGTTAATAAATAAGCTACGGATATAAAATCTTCATATTTGCGTGTACAGAAATTTAATATGTGTAATATTTGAACATAAAAATATAACATATTTTACGTTTTTTCTAGCAAACGTTTTATAAATTTTAGAACCATGGCTGGCATAATTGAATAACTGTAATAATAACATTTTTTCAAAATTAACAGAGCTTAAAACACTAGACTGACCAATAGGCATTGCACATACTTTGACCAATTTCCGCGGAGAAGGGGGGGGGGGCGGGGCTTAGCCCCCAAACACAAAGATTTTGGACCTGTGCATTTACGAGGAAAAGAATTCCCCGTCGAATTTTTGTAAACACTATATGTACTGCCAATTTACAATTATTAAAGTGGCAGACCTGATGTGTGAAGCAACAAAAATGTGTTTTAAATATGATATTAATACGTTTTTTATGCTTCAGAAAAATAATTCGAATTTGTTTTGATTTTATTTTTTGAAAATTGATACAAAATATTTTTGTTTTTAGGCTGAACTGAAGGAAGAGAGAGAAAAGGTTCGAAAGCTTGAGTTACAAGAGAATGCAAGGTAAACAAATATATATTTAAAGGGACTGTGTATTAAAATGTTAATCCAGAAAGGGACCGTCAACGTAATTTTTTATTGACCCACAATTCGTGGTGTAGAAATATTTATTAAAATGTTGTTGATTGACCCACAATGTATAAAGCGGAGTCTGTCCGATTTTTATCGATACCATTACACCTTTCCCTGATCAGCAATCAGAAGTTTATGTCGGTTTCTTATACGTGAAAATATAGTAATTTTCTTTAATAACTTTGCGGAAGAATTAAGTCACTTATCAAATTAACAATTATCAATTTTTAGAGGTAAAAAAAAACTAAATTATTTTTACCTCGCTTGAATAACGTCAACTGTTACTTACTTAAATCAAGATGAGAGTAACAAAACAAAGAAATAAAAACATAGATTACGGGCAAATTATGTCTCAGAATTAAGACAAATTTTCAGGTAAGTCATCAAATGTGTGAAGAGTCCCTTTCAACTCTAAATAGTTTCTTTTATCTGTCCCATTTTATTAGCATAGAGGGAAGTGTTTCTACACATTTACATATTTATGTTTACACTTTATTTTCTTTAACTTTGTAAAATTGTACACACACAAAAGTAGAAAACTTTAACACAAAAAGAAAAAAAGTAAAAACCATCATAAATAAAAAATCGGAATTTCCATTTTTTTCAATCTTGTGCACTTTACCGTTATCGTTATTTGAAGTGCCTGACTCACTTTTAAACTGCTGCTATAGAAAATTGCTGGGAATTTGAGAACCTTAGTTTGATCGATTAATCTGAATATCCTAAATAAAAGCTATAAAGTAGAAATTCATGACAGAAATTAATTTGTTTGCAAACTATAAAGTAGAAATTCATGACAGAAATTAATTTGTTTGCAAGCTATTAAGTAGAAATTTATGACAGAGATTAATTTGTTTGCAAGCTATAAAGTAGAATTATTCATGACAGAAATTAATTTGTTTGCAAACTATAAAGTAGAAATTCATTACAGAGATTAATTTGTTTGCAAACTATAAAATAGAAATTCATGACAGAAATTAATTTGTTTGCAAACTATAAAGTAGAAATTCATGACAGAGATTAATTTTTTGCAAGCTGTAAAGTGGAAATTCATGACAGAGATTAATTTGTTTGCAAGCTATAAAGTAGAAATTCATGACAGAAATTAATTTGTTTGCAAGCTATAAAGTAGAAATTCATGACAGAAATTAATTTGTTTGCAAACTATAAAGTAGAAATTCATGACAGAAATTAATTTGTTTGCAAACTATAAAGTAGAAATTCATGACAGAAATTAATTTGTTTGCAAACTATAAAATAGAAATTCATGACAGAGATTAATTTGTTTGCAAGCTAAAAAGCAGAAATTCATTACAGAGATTAATTTGTTTGTAAGCTATAAAGTAGAAATTCATGATGTTGAATTTTACAGAAATCCAAGTTAAACTGAAATGAAGAGTATAAATGAAGAGTATAAATGAAGAGTATAAATGAAGAGTATAAATGAAGAGTATAAATGAAGAGTATAAATGAAGAGTATAAATGAAGAGTATAAATGAAGAGTATAAATGAAGAGTATAAATGAAGAGTATAAATGAAGAGTATAAATGAAGAGTATAAATGAAGAGTATAAATGAAGAGTATAAATGAAGAGTATAAATGAAGAGTATAAATGAAGAGTATAAATGAAGAGTATAAATGAAGAGTATAAATGAAGAGTATAAATGAAGAGTATAAATGAAGAGTATAAATGAAGAGTATAAATGAAGAGTATAAATGAAGAGTATAAATGAAGAGTATAAATGAAGAGTATAAATGAAGAGTATAAATGAAGAGTATAAATGAAGAGTATAAATGAAGAGTATAAATGAAGAGTATAAATGAAGAGTATAAATGAAGAGTATAAATGAAGAGTATAAATGAAGAGTATAAATGAAGAGTATAAATGAAGAGTATAAATGAAGAGTATAAATGAAGAGTATAAATGAAGAGTATAAATGAAGAGTATAAATGAAGAGTATAAATGAAGAGTATAAATGAAGAGAATAAATGAAGAGTATAAATGAAGAGTATAAATGAAATGAAGAGTATAAATGAAAACGAGATGATTTTTGAATTGTTTTTACAAACTGCAGATTCAACGTGCCCTGCATTTAAATGTCTGATATTTGTATATAGTACGCATACTTAACCCTATGAAGGCTGGGGGGTCTGAATCTTTGTATAGCCTGGGGGGGCGTTTGGCGCCCCCCCCCCCTAGAAAAAGGCCTTAGAGAATAGGTATAGGGCTGAAATGCATGTTCATAGCCCAATGTTTCAAGACTAGCTCATAGAAAAAAGTTAGATCGATTAGTTTGGGTGCTAGGAAGGGTTGAAAATGTCAAAAAAGAAAAAAAAAACATTTTTTTGTTTTAAATAAATCCCAAAGTGTGACACATGCTTCTACATCCATTTTTCAGAGGCTTATTAAAAATATAGTTTTTAGATCTACAGCTTTAGTCACAAAAAAGTTATGGGTTATTTTAGATTTTTTTTCACAGACCAGATATTTCCGCCCTATACCCTACCCTATAATTAAAAAAATTTAACAAAAAATCCTTTAAATTACTATTCATTAAAAGTAAAAAAAAAATCAAGGTCATAGTGTCAAAAATGAGTGTGCTAGTACAAAAAAAACTACAAGGGGGGCGCAAAATGTTAGACACAAGAAAGATTGATAGAAAAAGATAAAAAGTTTTTAGCAGGAAATACAAAACTTTAAAAATGTACTTTAAAAAATATCTTTCCTTTGAAAAAAATGATTTCCACATTAGCATTATAAAGATATTTTCTGTGTACAACTCAAAATCTACTTTGTTATATGATCTTAAATACCTGAGTTCTTCGTGATATCATATTCTGATTAATTAAACTTTAACTTTTCGTGAATAAACTTTTGTTTGTTAAATGTCGTGACTTGAGTTGAAAATGGTTTGATTTATAAAGTTCGAAGAAGAATCGATTATATCTGATTAAATTAAACATTAAACAGGGGACTGTACACGTCATTTTAGGTCACCATTTATCCATAGAGTTACATGTCTGATTCACCCCGGACTAACCAGAGTGAGAAGCATTCGGTTTATTTTATTTGAAATCAAACGTGTTTTGGTCTATAATTCAACCATCTATAAACTTACAGATTTGTTCATTAAAAAGGTATATGCCGACAAAAAAGTATTGAAGAAAAAAGGCTAAACCATTATATATAATGGGTGAAATTGTGATCGAAAGTCACAGCTTTATGGAATATTGACAGAACCGTTAAATCCACGTGCGTTTAAACTTTGGTTAAATCCGTTTTTATATTTAAAAATTAATTATCCACTTTACACTGTTTAAAATAAGTAAATCTACGATTGCCTTGATCAAATATAGGCAAAGGCGTACACAGGAATTTACAGGGCGGGGGCTTACATTTTCTTTACTTTCAAGGGGGGGGGGGCTTGAGACCCATCGGAAACCATAGATTTTACTGAATCATAGTGGGCTAGCTCCCATACCCTTCCCCCCTCTCCCGCTGTACACCTCTGAACACAAATGATATTAGGTATACCATATTAATACTAGCGCAGCACACTTTAACCGAATGAAAGTGATCAGAACATCTAGACGATGAGTTAAAAACTTGTTTAAATTCTATCAGAGCTTTCGATAGGTTTAAATGATAGGCTTTTTCTAACAGCTAACTTAATGTTTTAACAAGGTGTATCAGTTTTCAAGAAAATGTTAAAAATGAAAACTCAATATTCCTTAATTTTGAATTCAAATCATATGCAATTCAATTATTTTGATTACTTCACTTTACTATCAATGTCCAAACCCGGACCCGTAAACTATCAATGCCAAACCAATGGGCGCAATCTTGTCAGATATCGATGTCAACATGGACATTAGCTTGTACTATCAATGCCAAACCAATGGGCACAATCTCGTCAGCTATCGATGTCAACAAGGACGCAATAGTAAACTATCATTGCCAAACCAATGGGCATGATCTCGTCAGCTGTCAACATGGACACTAGGTATGTTCAGGTTAACAAATATGGGTATTTATTACATATATATATATATGTATATGAATATCCAAGTTTACAGTGAATTGTATTTAGGAATGAGCTTGTTTATAATCTGAGATCTGAGTTAGTGGATCAAGAGAATAATGTATCCAGGATACTTAGGGACAAACATTTTCATACAACACATTGAAGAACATAAATTTGGCTTTGAATTCTGCTATTAACAGTTTTGAATAGAAAAAATGACTTTAAAATGCAACAAAAATGGCTTTTGTACTGTAAAACTTGATTAGATATTATTTAGACAATATTACCTAGGACAATATGATCTACTGTAGAAGTAAACATACAAATTTTCCATAATAGCTTAAAAATCAATTTATTAAGTACACCGCAAACTTGTTTATGTTCTCTTGGCTAAATAAAACAGTAAATTAAGTGTCCGTCGTCTTCCTGATTCTCTAAGTATTATGAACATTTTTGCTCAGAGACAGAGAATCCTTGCTCCGGGATGAGTGGAGGGATCAGGTATCCAGGATGAGAGATGAGTGGAGGGAGGATGAGGAGAGGATCAGAGAAGACTGGATTAGAGAAGAAAATAAGATAAAACGAATATGTGAAGAAAGGGGATTACAGATAGCTCAGGTAAAAATAGCTTAGACAGATAATTTGAAATAATGATCGAATCTTAGACTATAGATATAAATATAATAGACCGCTATATAGTTAGCACTATCAGTATCGATAGTCTGAGAATCAAATCTATGAATTAAAAGATTGTAAATTTACTTTTGATTCACTCTTCAGCTTTAAAATGTATGTTAGATTCATAATTGTATACTTCATTCTAGAATTAATTATTAATACTTTACTTTTGGACTTCTAAACAAGAAATGATAAATAAAATGAAATAAATAAAATAAACTTTATTTAGATGTAAATTTTAAAAGCACTAACCAGAATATTTTGTAACTAAGTTAGTGGAAAACTAATGAAGAATAAGTTTTGTAGGAATTATCTCCTTGAATGCAACTTTCTTTTTATCAATGATTTTTTTCTTCAAGTGGTAGAAGAAGAAACTTTGATTGGATTGTCGATAAAGGATTTTTCTAACATTATTACATTTCTTGGAATTGAAATTTTTTTTTACCTTTTATGAAAAATGTCATTATTTGAATTCAAATAAGAAAGGGAATCTGAATTTTGCAGTGGTGGAACAGAAAATATCTTTTTCTTCAAAATATTACCACTTGGGAATTTTTCCTTGGCTAAAATCCCGCCCCCCCCCCTCCCCCCTCCTTTATAAAAGTAGAGATTAATATTTCCAGGTTAGGAGCAAACTGTCCATCACTAAACCAAACCAAACCGCAAAATGTAATCTCATTAAATGCGCAATCTTCTTTTCAATTCTTATCCTCGGAAAGAGATTTCCAAAGAAGAGACAGAAAATAAACAAATTAGTTAAATTATTTGATTTCATTTTATTTAGTTTAGAATACAGGGCTTCGCCCCCATCTTTCTTGCTTTTTAATGTTACTTTAATTTAAAAAAAAAATCCTTTAAACATTACAGAAAATAACCATGTAGGATTTCGTGGATAATTTTACATGGTGAATTTCTAAAAACTTTAAAAATCGAAAACGTTTTTTTTGCTGCCGCCAATAAACCTTTCCTTGGGTAATATGAAATCTTTATAAAAACTGGGCCTGATCGGTTCAACTGTTTTGACGTTTATTTGGATACAAACAAGCAAATAAGCAGATTAGCCAAATATATAGATATAATCTTGATGTAAGGTACTTTCCCAAAGGCGTTTTCCCAAGTGGCAACTTCTAAAATCTGTCCTAGCAGCAGCACTTGACCAATAAACTGTTTTAGCCACAGCGCTCGGCCCCCAATCCCATCATAGCCTCAAGTTGCTATTTGGAAAATTGTTACTTGGGGTGTGCCATTGTTAAAATGCCTTTGGGAGTATACATCATAATCTTTAATATACAGTTCTCAGGACTCAGTTATACTTTACAAACGAATTTATGGTTGTTTTGGTTTTCTAAAATAGTTATCAACATAAAAACACTCATAAAATTGAAAGTCGTTCCTCCACTCTCAAATTTATTGACCAATCCCTTTAAAATTTCAGCTGCGGAGTCAGCTGAGTGCAGAGATGGAGAAGAGAGTGAAATGCACTGAGATGGTGGTGAAGGAGAGGGAGCAGATGGAGGATAGGAGGGACCAGATGGATAAAGAGAAGAAGAAGATGGAAGAGGAGAAGAAGGAGATGGATGAGGAGAAGAAGGAGATGGAAGAAGAAAGAGAAGAGATTCAGAAGGAGAGAGAGGAAATGATAAACAAGTTGACTTTTATGGAGGAAGATCAAGAAAAGTACAGGTCAACAAATATTTGTTATTCCAAAAAAATATCTTTTCAGAGGAATTTATTTGAAAATGATGGCAGAGATGCAAATATTTTGACATTTTTATATTTATTGTTCTCCATTTTCTTCTTGTTCGTACATCTTCCATCAAATTTCAGCTAATTTTCAAAAAAAAAAAACCTCTACCAACGGATCACTTAAACTGACTTTCACAATCCCTTTTATCTACAGAGATTGATATAAGAAAAAACTATTTTCTTGTATCCTGTATTAAAGGAAAGAAAAGATTTACATGATTATTCACTTTATTCACGGGAAACTTCGAATTAACTTCTTGACAATAGAAACCTTTAGGGATAGATCTAGGAAAATACAGGGTGTCCCATTATAGATCAAGGAAAATACAGGGTGTACCATTATTGATCTAGGAAGATACAGAGTGTCCCATTATAGATCTAGGAAAATGCAGGGTGTCCCATTATAGATCTAGGAAAATACAGGGTGTCCCATTATAGATCTAGGAAAATACAGGGTGTCCCATTATAGATCTAGGAAAATACAGGGTGAACAGATGTCAATGCCCGATTCACAACGGTACCGTTGACAACTTTGTTTGATCAAGTATAACTTAGATATCAATGTTTATAAGTTTATGGGAGGGGAAGGAGGTTGGCAGGAAATAAACTTCTAGTTGTTAATTAAGTTTAGAACGTTTTATAAGAGTTAACAACACTTAGCACAAACATAAAGCTTGAAAGTTTTAACCATTTAAAAGTTTATTTAAAAACTAAATTTAAAAGCTTTTTAAATCAATTATTTATCGAACATTATTATGCTATACTTGCAGATCTCAGTATCTGTTCACCTGAAAATTGATTTTTTTAAATCTTTAGATTTGATTTTTAAACCAATTTATATTTTATTTAGGATTCAATGTGAGACAGAGCTAGAAGGATTACTGAAAGAGGTGAAACTAAAATTTAAAAAAGAAAAATGACACGAACTTAGAATTTAAAATCGTACGTACTTCTTTAAAGTGTTTTCATAAAATCTTGACATAGCCTCCCAGGTTCCTCCTAAATATGAATATGAATTTTGGAGGGGGGGGGGGGGTGAAGTTGAATTCTAAAGACTATGCTAAAATATTTTAAGTAAACTGTAAGATAAATTGTGTTGATGCTAGATTTAATTAAAAAGATAAAATAGAAGAAAGCATAAATCATTCATGTCCAACAGTAGGTGTGCTTGGATAACAGAGATAAATTATAAAAAGACAATTATATAAAACAGAGATAAATTATAAAAAGACAATTATATAAAACAGAGATAAATTAAAAAAAGACAATTATATAAAACATAGATAAATTATAAAAAGACAATTATATAAAACAGAGATAAATTATAAAAAGACAATTATGTAAAACAGAGATAAATCATAAAAGACAATTATATAAAACAGACAAATCTCGCAAATCTGTTTAGCATGTGAATAAAAGAGAGATTTTTTTGTCTCAAAATTCTGACCTTTGACCCTCGATAATTAACACACCTTTTGTCTATTCGGTCTATATTAGAATTTTTTACACAGACCGGACATTTTATCGCCCTGTACCCTACCCTACCCTATGCATAAAAATTTACAAAAATCCTTTAATCCCCCAGCCTGTTTAGGGTTAATAAACAGCAAAAACTGATTATTTTTAAATCGGTAAATAACGGAAATAGCCATTTTTGATAACAAATTTGTATGCATTTTCATGCTTTTTTACGTGTTTTGATGTTTTTAATTTTGTCTAAATGTTTACATGAAATAGATAGCTGGCACAATTAACGACTTCAAAAATATCTGCCGTTAACCCCGTTAAAAATATTAAGATAGTTTACAAAAAATTAGTTTAAACTTAATTTCAAGTTTTAAATTACATTAACCAACGCGACGGTTTGAAAAAAGTCAGAACGTGTCCAGCCCTACTTCAAAGACAGCTTTATACTTTGTTCAGTCATTTTTATCCTTAAGTCTCTTAGCTTTAGACAGTTGGTTAAATTTTGTTTACAATTTCCTGAAATATAAAATCAAAAAACGATTGTGATCTTCATACAAAGAAACGTTCTGATCGTACTCTATGTGTAGTACTTAGAAACGTTCTGATCGTACTCTATGTATACTTAGAAACGTTCTGATCGTACTCTATGTAAAGTACTTAGAAACGTTCTTATCGTACTATATGTGGATTACTTAGAAACATTCTTATCGTACTCTATGTGTAGTACTTAGACATGTTCTGATCGTACTCTATGTAAAGTACTTAGACACGTTCTGATCGTAGTATATGTAAAGTACTTAGAAACGTTCTGATCGTACTATATGTAAAGTACTTAGACACGTTCTGATCGTACTATATGTGTAGTACTTAGAAACGTTCTGATCATACTCTATGTAAAGTACTTAGAAACGTTCTTATCGTACTATATGTAAAGTACTTAGAAACGTTCTTATCGTACTATATATGGATTACTAAGAAACGTTCTGATCGTACTCTATGTGTAGTACTTAGAAACGTTCTGATCGTACTATATGTAAAGTACTTAGAAACGTTCTGATCGCACTATATGTAAAGTACTAAGAAACGTTCTGATTGTACTCTATTTGTAGTACTTAGAAACGTTCTGATCGTATATATGTAAAGTACTTAGACACGTTCTGATCGTACTCTATGTAAAGTACTTAGAAACGTTCTGATCGTACTATATGTAAAGTACTTAGACACGTTCTGATCGTACTATATGTAAAGTACTTAGACACGTTCTGATCGTACTCTATGTAAAGTACTTAGAAACGTTCTGATCGTACTATATGTGGAGTACTAAGAAACGTTCTGATCGTACTATATGTAAATTACTTAGACACGTTCTGATCGTACTATATGTAAAGTACTTAGAAACGTTCTGATCGTACTCTATGTAAAGTACTTAGAAACGTTCTTATCGTACTTTATATCGTATTTTGCATAATTTAATAGGATCGTAAGATGGTAAGAGTAAATTCAAATATTATTTCCCCAATCTTGATCAAACCTTAAACTTTTTTCAACCAACAAATTTTCCTTCTCTTTTTTCTGGTAAATTCCGCAAGTTTTGTTTAAGTTAGGGTTACCAACAACGAATGAGAATATAAAGACGACCCAAAACTTTAAAAATGATTTGAAGCTTAATTTTTGGTTTTTCATTCTATTTGATATTTTTATTGTTTACTAAATGATAAAGCACAGAAATAAGCCAGTTTTGGCATACAAGGAGCTCTAAATGTAAGAAAACTGACTGAATAAATTCCGTACAATCTTCTACGAAGTCTCATCTTTTATGGGTAATCCTGTATGTGATATGTTGTAGTCGATTTTAATGTACTCCTTTTTACGATCAATGCTTGTATAATTGAGTGTTTGTTAAATTATCAAAGTTTATATTTCATTAAAATACATTTTTAATTCATTTTGGAATGAAAAGAGTGACTAATAAATTGATATATCGTGTTCAGACTTCGTCGATTTTAAAATATTTGGTTTAGATTTTGACAATTTTGATTTGACATTTAAGATTGGCAGGACTGGATCTATATTGCATGATTTCGCTTCTCAGTGAAAACAGGGATTAAATTATATTTATAAACTCGGAAAATATGGAATAAAACTGGAGATAAAGGGATTGGTCATCTATTTGAAAATATCCTTGATGTCCTAGTTATTGGATTGAGGTCCCGGCTCTTCATGGCTCATAGCCAAAACCCAAAATCAGAACTTATTATTTCCAGATACTCTCAACTACTTTCCTAGGATGATCATCCTAAGTTTTACATGTCTCATAGTCATACTTCATATGGAATAAATAAACTGAGAAAACCCAAAATTCTAAACATAAAAATGAAAAAAACTAATGAATAAAATGAGCCAGTGCTATGCCATGAAGCAACCAGAAACTCAATTTTTATCAAATGTTCCATTGTTTCCAGATAGGTAAAAAAAGCATCATGACTGGTTAAAACACATCCATTTTTACAAATTGCATTAGTTTGTCTGTTTCAATAGTCCAAGAAAGTGCCTCTGTTAACCCTATTTGGCCTAGGGGGGGGGGGTCATTTAACGCCCTTCTATCGTTCTTTTGCGATAACTCAAAAAGCATACGAACTACGAAGCTCAAATTTTCTGGCTTATCTTTCTATCACATACCCTCACTTAAAGCTAAAAGCTGGGCTTTAATACCTACTGCCTGAGTCCTCAGGTAACTGCCTAAATGCTTTGTATGACCTATAACAGACTAATTCTATATCTAGACCTACTTCCAGTCATTGGATTTCAATATTTTATAGCTCTTTATAAAGCCTATAACAAAAGCAAGCAGATTGCAAAATTTTGCAACGAAATTTTGCACAGATTTTTGCACAGATGCCTGCAAAGGGGATTTTCACATTTTCAGTTTTTTTATTACACATTAAGGTTTCAGATTTTTTTTTTTATGTTTTTGCACATTTGAATTCGCTCGGTCAAGGGTTTTCAAGATATATAATTTATTGCAATTTTTTAAGAAAAAATTTGCACATTTTTTGCTTAATAACTAGGTTTCGCAGTAAATATTTAGATTTTTGAAAATTTGCCATTTTTTTTCTAGATTATTGAAGTAGTGCCCAAAGGCTTTCCAAAAACATATCAAATGTTATAGATTTCTTTAACAATAAGAAAAAGGGGGGGATCAATTTGACCCCCACCCCCCACCCGGGCAGCTAGTCAGTATTCCAGACATCAGGCTAAAGAGGGTGAAAAGGGGCACTGGACCCTATCGGAAAACGCAAAAAAAAAAATTTTATTAAAGTCTTTACTATTGTAAATTACAAGCGAAAGGGCCCTGTATTGCCCGTGGAAAAAATTAGAAAAAATATTGTTGAAAAAAATATTGAAAAATTAAAAAAATTTCGACCAGCCATTTTCATATATTTAGAACCGTGCTTACATCATTGAGTCATTTTTTTATATTCAGAATGTGTGCTTGAATATTTTTCCTGATTTTCTGTTTTGTATATAAGCATACACACGATTATTGTTGGACCAACTAAAGTTGATCTAAATATACATAACATTCGTCAGGGGCGAATATTTTTCCATTTGGCTCTTCTTATCAGATGCTTCGTGCTAACTGACTCCTACTAGGAAGCTCCGGGAATAGATGGCCGACCATCTGATGTAAATATAGTGTGTGTGCAACCATGCTTTGTAATTTCACTCAATCTTACCTTTTTAAAACTGAATTCTTTATAAGTCTATAATTCTTTATTCTCAAATTTAGAATAGTTAAATGCACTATGTTATTATTTATTTTTGAAATATTTTTTATTAGATTCCTTGTTTTCTTGATAATTTTTTTAATGTAAAATATAAACAAAAAATTGCGCGGATTTTATACTATTTTTTTTCGTGCATTCTCAAAATTTTGCAAAAATCGAAAACTTTTGGACAACAATTTTTTGTAATTTTGAGCCCAATCTGTTCAGCTGTTTTGACGTTTATTGGATTCACCGGACAGACAGACAGACAAACACACAAGCAAAGCATTTATGTTATAGACTATCATTAATATTATTAATATTAATGCATTTCAACCTTTATCTCGATTAGGTTAGAGAGAAAGAAGCCATGGTCAGTACTTTAAGAGCAACTGCCAGGTAATATAAAGAGGCTGTTCATTTATTTCTGAACCTGGGGAAAATGTTAGAAATTATCTAAGTCAGAATTATGAGTAAAGAAATCTCATGACAATGTTGTTTCTTGAATCACAGAAGTTTGCCGATTTTGTACCCTACTAAATATTTGAAAACCCCCCAGCATGACAATTTTAAACACATGAGCTACAATTTCATTTATTTCATGTTTGAAAGGTTGATCGAGTATGTACGATTTCAAAAGCATTTCAATATTTTTTCTCTTATTCGAAAAAACATAACATCAAAGTTGTTTACCCATGTCGTCTTCAACTTTCTTCTTCTTCAAAAATTACATCATTAGAATTTTATAATAGTATGTATATATAAAAAATAACCTTTGAATCCAATCTTTCGAAGCTTTGCACTATGAATCGCTCAATTATTATTATTAAATCGATTTAGGGACCTAGAAGAAAATTGTATAGACTGGAGAACAAGATACGATGAATTAGAACAGAAATATGAATATATCCAGGTATATGTTTACTAAAGGAACAGAAATATAAGTATATCCAGGTATATGTTTACTAAAGGAACAGAAATATGATATAGTTTAGCACTGGAGGAACAGAAATATTAGTTTATCCAGGTTTAGTTTAGCACTGGAGGAACAGAAATATGTATTTTACTGAGTTATTTTACTTCAAGGTTTTGCCATTTTATTATTTCTAATTCGGATTCACAGTAAGTTTATTATGATTTAATTTGAATAGCCACCAAAAAAATTGGCATTTAGAGTATTCATATTTACCCAATTTTCTCACTCAAAGCAAACACCTACTGGAAATTAAATTGTGTGGCCCCCCTGGGGGGGCCGTACGCCCCTGTGTATAAGAATACCCCTATTTCATGATTAAAAATTGTCTAGGTGAACTGGGAAAAGAACTGTCAGGAATCCACCGGAACTAGCTCTGCAGAAACTACTCCTATTCAAGACGAAAAGAAAAAATTACAAAAAGAAAAAGAAAGTTTACGAAAGGAAAAAGACATGCTTCTCGGTGAAAAGAAAATTATAACAAAGGAAAAAAGAGCTTTACAAAAAGAGCGGGAAAATTTTAAAAAAGAAATAAAACTAGTTCAGGAGGAAAATAAGAAGAAGATGAAAAATGACCAGGAACCGAATTTAATGAATTTTAACTCACTTCCGCCGGTTCAAATTTGAATCACCTATTCAAATCCCCACTAAATCTTTAACTGAATAAAGGCTACAGGGGTCTGAATCTATGCATAGCCTTGGAATATACGTACAGAGTTGAAGTGCATAATGTTCATAACCCAAATTTTCGAGGCGAGCTCATTGAAAAAATAGACCGTTAATATTTGTGATTAGTAATAATAATAATAATGATAATGATAATAATAATAATAATAATAATAATAATAATAATAATAATAATAATAAAAATAAAAATAATAATGATAATAATAATAATAGAAATATTAATAATGATAATTATGACAAAATCTGCTCCAGTTGGATGAGACGAGAGCTGAGATGCTGAATATCCAGGAGGTGCTGGATACCCAGGAGAATCAGCTCAGGGAGCAGACGGCCAAGTACTCCCTCCTCCTAGTGAAGTTGAGGGAGGAGGAGGAGGAGGGGAGGAGGTTAAAGGAGAAGGTGAGGAAAAAGGATGAGTTGATAAGAAGAAAGGAGCAGGATTGGAAGAGGATGGAGGATAGTTTAAGAGTTCAAGTTGATGAGATGAACTTGACCTTGAAGGAACTTCAGAGCCTGGTTCAGGAGAAAGAGAACATAATCAAAGATATAAAGTAAGAAATATTTTTAAATTTGTTTTTTTTTCAAAATTCTCATAATATTTATTTATAGAATTGAGGAGAGCACACGAGCAAAATCTTTATATCAAGCGTTGAGCAGCTACGTGACCGAAACCAGCTCCTGTATTCAACCCATCCTTGACTCCAGTCAGTCGAGGGAGCCGGAGAGGCAAGAGATTCCGTCCCAACATAAACACGTTAAAATCCCCCAGACAGCCTATTCCATGCATGCAGTGCCCAACGGAAAAGAAACTAACGGAAAAGCAACCAACGGAAAAGCAACCAACGGAAAAGCAACCAACAGAAAAGAAACCAACGAAAAGGAAATTACAGGAAAAGAAACTACTGGAAAAGAAACCAATGGAAACGATCCGAACATAATCGATGAAATTAACATCAACGGTCATCCTAGCCCAGGCTTAACAGATGAGAAGTCCAGCAGTGATACTACTACTCTGAGTGAAGAAACTACTGAGAATGAACCTGGAACAGAAAGTGCTGCTGGAACCAGTCTGATCAAACATCCTTCTGAAGATGCTACCAGAGCTGTCAGTACTGATCTAGATCTGGAGAATGGAAATCTTAATCTTGATAGTGACGGAGTTCACATCTAGCACTTTTTTATGGATTTTTATGAAATATTCTGTTTTATCGAAGGTTACAAAAGATTGACCCCTAATCTAATCAAATCAGTTAATCTATGAAAAGAAAAAGAAAACCTAATTAAAAATTCTCAGAACGCTTTTGAGTAAAATCAAATCAATAAACTAAAATTAACGAAGTGAATTAAATGATTATATAAAGATTAGATTTTCCTGATAAATTCCACTTAAGAAGACGATACTAAACGATTCACAAGATTAAAACCAAGAAATCTTTTTTAAAGGATATCCAATCTTCTTTTTGAAAATCAAAGACCTTTGGCAATCGTATTTTGAAGAGAGATGGTTTGATATCCGATAAAATTGGCTCATTTTAGTCTATTTTCGATAAAACGTTTATTTCTATAGACATCATTAATGACATTAAAGGTTTTGATATTTTTAATTGTTTCTGAGAAACGCTCAAATCAGCGATAACCTCATTAAATTAGTTTGTTTTTAATAATGTTTTTGGCCCCTTAAACTTTTATGATGGGGGGAAAATTGCGAAAATTGAATTTTTTATCGCAAAATCCAGTTTTATAGTAAAAATGTTTGCAAAAAAAAATTTATCCAAAAAATGACAAATTATACATTTTTGAAAAGCCCTTGACCATGCCATTTCAAATATGCAAAAATGTTTGCAAAATTTTAAATAACCTGATTTTTAATCAAGAAAAACTAAAAATGTGCAAATTTCCTTTGACAGGTTGTTTGCAAAAAATTTGCAATTTTTTTTTCGCAAAACTTGTGCAATCCGTTTCCTTATGTCATAGGTTTTCCAAAAAGCTAAATTTTATCAAAATCTGATAAGTGAAAGTGGGTCAAAACAAAGATTTAGTTTGTTACAGGCAAAAGCAGTCATTCAGGCAGTGTGCCTGAGGACTCAGGCAGTTAGTATTAAAGCCTGGTTTTAGGCCTAAAGGGAGGGCTTTGGGTATGTAAGAAAAGTCAGAAAATTTCAACAGCCTCAGACTAATACTTTTTGAGTTATGTAAAAAAAACTACAGGGGGGGGGGCAAATTGACCCCCCCCCCAGCGGGAATAGGGTTAAAGTTAGAGGTTTAATTTTTTTTAATGAGCTTGCCTTTAAAAGTTGGAGTATGGACATATATCACACTCCTCTGTCTCAACTCTAATGACAAAATCAAGGGGAGGTGGGGAACACAAAAATATCCCAATCGAGATAGGGTTAAGAATATGTCTAAGAAATAATGAATTTCAGAAGGAGGAATGTAATCTTATAGTCGGTAGACAATTATATTAATAAAGTGAAGACAGATTTTTTCTTTAAGTTTTGATTGTTAACAAGCTTGTTTCGAATTGCAAGTTTACATGTAATTAAAGAGAAGGTTTTTTTTAATTGACAGCTTCTCTTGACTTATTTGTTTATGTGTAATATGCTCTTCAAGACCTTGATATTAATCAAAGTTCGTCTTCATTGTATTGATATAATTGCCTACCACTGTATTATTTTTAATGATGATGTTATCATAATGTTCAAAAGAGTTTTTCAGTTTAAACAAGAAATGCACAATTCGCTTTTACAGAGAAACATACCGCAAAAGAAAAGAAAATTTTTAAGAAACAAAAATATTGATATATAACTCATACTTGATCAGACAAAAGCTTTCAAGGGTACCGTTGTAAATCGGGTATTGCAATCTTTCAACGGAGGGTTACTTGAAATTACACTTATAGTCCCTTTGAAATAAACATTTCATCTAAGCTGTTACTCTTGAAGACTATATTTGTATAGATTAAAAAATAGTTAGATATATACAGTATACATCTACACGTCCGAAATGTATAATTTTAGTTGTACCTTTTTTTTGTTAATCTAAATTGAAAAAGAAACTATAAAAAATTGAAACTCTTTTTTAAATCCTAAATGTGACCCCCCCCCCCAGGACCCGTGGTCTTTTTTTAATAGATCAAAAAGTATTGCTTAAATTTTCTAACTATTTCTTCAGCACTAAAAAAGTGTCCACCCACTTGATTCAAGCCACATAAAACCGAGCTTTTATACCAACTGCCCGAATCTAAGGCATACTGCATAAATGCCTACTTTTCAAAAATAACCTAAATATGTTATGCATTTCCTGTTGTTTTAATATGAAAATGTTCGTTTACTGGAGAGCTATTAAAACTGTTAAGGATAAATGTTATTTCATCAGAGGCCGAATTTAAAGATTTGAAACTGCTTCGTTGAACGGCCGATGGTGATAACCGGTTCAAATTGAGCACCGGGTCAAATCTAGAAAAACTTATTAAATTTTCCAGCTGAACCAATAATATTTGAATCCAGTTCAAATTCTTTAAATTCGACCCCAGGATCTCAAATCTGAGATAGTTTTTTTGTGAATATTAAATGTGTCTTTGTATCTTTCTTATATCACTAATTAAGATTAGATTTCCTTTTAATTGTACTTGACACATTGACTGAAATGTACCGCATTTATGATTTGCATTCATGTGTATGTAGACAATACAGTGAATATTTATTGTAAATACACTGTACATTTGTTGTACATACATTGTACATTTAAATTGTACATACACTTTACATTTATTGCACATACACTGTACATTTATTGTACATAAACTGATTTATTGTACATACACTGTACATTTGTTGTAAATACACCGTACAGTATTGTGCATACTGCATACGCCATACACTGTTTATTCAGTTTACCATTGACATAAACTGTTTCATTTAACATTTATTGTACATACACACACTGTACATTCAGTTTACAGTTTACATACACTTTACACAGTGTACACAATTCGTAGATTTAAGGTCCAGACCACTATAAATTCAATCAATACTTATAAATTTATCTTGAAGTTATCTTTATAAATAATAAATTCTTTATCGCATTTTTAATTTATTGAAATAAGGGCAAAACGAGATTATTTGTCCTAAAAAGTTTAAATCATAATTTCATAAAACAGATTTTAAATCTGTAATAAGGTAATGTGACAAAAATTGTATGTCTTTTGAAATTGGAATTTTCTTCCATATACTTTTTGATTAGAATTTAATTAAAATCTTAAACGTCGATACATTGTTTTCAACCGAGGATTTTTTTATTATTTCGTGGGTTTTCTTAAAATCGGAAAGAAATGAAAATTAAATTATTATGAACTAGCCTGGGAACCCAGCGTTGCCCAATGCCCAGTTTACTCATAGGATTACTCCCGCCCTTTACCCGCACTTGGTGCAGGTACATTTTCCCGATAAAAGTCGTCTCACTCAACTTCGATTCTCAAATTAAAGCTATAGCACATTCCCGTAGCTCTCCCGATTTCCCCAATACAAATTTGAGGCAAATCGGTCCCAGGGTTCCTGAGTTATGATCAGGAAAACAAACAAAGAGACACCCAAACAGAGATTACAACTTTATATTTATAGATGATTTATTAATTTAGTTTTTCAGACATTGCGACGTTTGTCGATTACGCCAAATATTTATCAATTAAAGTATTTATTTTTTATATTTGTTTAAACCATGAATTAATAATAGAATTTTATTAACCTTTAGATTTGCGACGTTTCTTCTTAACCAAACTTTGTAATTTTCATATTTATATAAAAAATGATTATACAATATATTAATATCATAAAAAACGTAAAATGTTTATATTTGTCTATTTATCATTTTGTTTAAAAAATTAATATTTAAGAAGTTATTTTTTTTATTTGTTTGTAACCCTAAACTTATTTATTTATTTATTGTTCTTTAATCTTTTGATATTGTGACGTTTCTTTTTTTTAAATTTACAATTAAAAAATATCTATTTTTATCATTTTGTTTAAGAGATGAGTTTACAAATTAAATATATTTTAAGCCTGGTTCTCTGGATTTTACTGACCACTAGAGTTCTCAGACAACGCAGCTAGAGACAAGCTTTTTAAAGTTTCATATCCTCATAGCAAGGGCTATTATAAAACACCTCTAAAAGTAATGTTTGTCTTTTCAAGATACTCTCTCAATGTCACAGCTGAAGGTCAAATAGTTTAAATTTTTTAAAGCGTAACATCGACCTTTAGGAACTTTTCGATTGAGATAGCAAGATTTTAAAGGAAAGGGAGGTCAGTTTCAATATATATTTCTTACATCAGAATATGAATAAACTTCGTTTCATGTTCAAAATAGAACAAAATATATTAAGAGCTATTTCTCCAACTTTTATAAACAATTCCTCGAAACCATTAAAACTTAAACTATTTTTATTATATTTTAAAATTTCTCTCATATTCCATCCACTAGTTTTTTCCTTTCTTTAAAATGTTCAGTGTAATTGTATCAATTCAAATGAAGTAAACATTTTTCATATTGTTTAAATCATGTAGAGAAAAGATATGATATAACTCTGTCTGAATGCCCTCACATAATTCATGTTCTCAAATTTCAATGATTTAGTTAAAATACAAACTTTATATTTTAACTAATATGAGTCAAGAATACAATTCTTAGAATTTACGAATTGCAAGAAATCATATTTATGCATTTAGAATTCATCAGATACTGCCCCTAGGAGTCAGCTCCTTAGGGGATGGAGTCTCAGACCCATAGTTGATGAGCAGATTATATTCTTCATCATTGCGAGCAGTATCAGTATCTCGAGCTATTATACCACTCATAGAGTTGGTGCTAGACACATTATGGAGGTTGCTGTAGATAACCTTGGGGAACGGAGATTCAGGGTTTGGTTTGGAGATGATGACGTCAGGGATGAAGTTCTGGGGTTTAACCCGGCAGCAGGGGAATATGATGAGAGCCTTCATAACAGCCCGGTCCCATGGGACCATGGAGTGGAAGGGGAGGGGCAGGAACTCCCAGGATTGAAGGAAAACAGGAAGAATCTTTGGTTTACTGTTTTGGAGAATATTGATGGTTACTGAAAAAATGATGATGGAGATAGTGGGAACTAGGAAGAGATAAAGGGGGATAGGACCAGCTAGGGAGAGAAGAAACATAAAGGTTGGAAGGATAAAGAACATGAAGGAAAGGTAGAAAACGGCAAACCATCTGTACTGTGCTGTAACACTACCAAGCACCCTGGCTATAGCTACCGGCCACCGCATGAAGGGGATCGGATAGAAAATGATAATCCCGGTCAGGTTGAACAGAAGATGGACAAAGGCGATCTGGTTTGCTGCTCTGACATTGGTTCCACCAGCAGCAAAACTGGCTAGGAGTGAGGTAGTGGTTGTGCCAAGGTTGGATCCCAGGGTCATAGGATATGCTCTCTCTAGGCTAACTACTCCGACACCAGCCAGAGGGGTTAGTGTAGAGGTAAATACAGAGCTAGATTGAACTAGGATTGTCATGATAGCGCCTAGAACCATTGCTAGATATCCTGTCAGCCAACCCAAACCTTTGATTGGAATGTCAGAGTTAATCACATTTTGTATTATTTCCTTAACCTTAGGACCAAGAAGAGAGTTGAGAGTTTTTACCATAAGGAGGAGACAAGTGCAGAGCATAAACAAGGATATTGTAAGAAGCAGAACTCCAATCACAAGGTTTCCGACATTTTCTCCGTCCGGACCTAGATATGCGAACAGGTAACCACAAGGAACTGTTATCCCTTCATCTTTGCATCCTGTTTTCAGTATTGTAGAGTTGTCATATTTAGGATCATTTACTGCCCAGCCCTGGAGAACATCTTTATCAAGTTGGATTATACCCTGAGTAAAGGGTTTAGTCAAAGCTTTCAAGAAGTCAGGACTTTTACCCTTCTCCTCCGACGTTGTAGTTACATTTGCGTTGATATCTCCGTGCATATGATTAACTAGGAACCCGGTTGTTTTCTCCAGGTAGCCTGTGGTAACCTCTACAATCAACAAGACAAACGCGCTCAGCCAGTTGAACATGTCGTGCACGTTAGCGCAGGCAAACGCGCGTCTAAATTGTTCTCTTTCTCCGGCCTGGGTCAGAGCAACGAGGATGTTAGTTACTGATGTTCCTATGTTTGCACCCATTATCATTGGAATAGCTTCTTTTACAGGGGCTCCTTAAACAAAGGCAACAATTATAAACTTAAACAGAATTTAAGAAGCTGATTACTTGCCTCAAACATGTATTTGATGATTCATATATCTTTGCAACTTAATGGTGTAAACTTCTGATATTTCAAACTTTGCATATTTCATTGTCGGAAATAGTAAAGATCTTCAACATCAGGATGCAATGATTTAAGAATTACAATATCAGAGTTTGAATAAATTTTCTAAGAATCTCTTATTCAAGACTTATCATTTATTTGCTCGCTCGAAGACACTATAAACGTAATTTCATCTGAAATATAATAAATTCCATTGCGGTTTCTTTACAAATGTGACTTGCGCATTGCTACTGCAGAAAAGCATCTAGGACTTACCAAAATTAAACACTTTTAACCAAGAAACCCCTTAAACATTGTTATTCAGTTGCGGTTTCTCTACAAAGGTGACTTGCGCATTGCTACTGCAGTAAAGCATCTAGGACTTACCAAAATTAAACACTTTTAACCAAGAAACCCCTTAAACATTGTTATTCAGAAAAAGGTTTGAAGGTTACCGTTCTGTATCAAGGCTTTGCCATCTTCATTTGAAAATTCACTTACAGTCTCTTTTAAAATAGTAACTAACTAATAACACAAAAACTTCATAATTCAAAACGTACTTAGTAGGATGTTAGAATTTGAGGAGGGTTTCAATCATTAAAAATCCGCTTCTATAAATAATTCTTAATTGTTCTAAATTCCAATAATGAAAAAGCTTTTTTACAAAAATCTTATTTTCCCTGAAAGCTGTAAATAGGCTAAATAACTTAAATTGTTTTCGTGTTTGGCACAGCTTTGCTTCGGATTAAAACAAAATAAGTATTTATTATAATTGAAAAATGTTCTTTATAATGTATTGTGAAGATATTGATAGAAAATAGTTCCTTTTAGAGGGACTGGAAGCGTAATTTCAGGTAACCCTCCATGGCAAGATTTACAACAGTACCCAATCTTAAAATGTTTATTTTCATTCGCAATTTCTCTGCGAAAGTGACTGCACTGCACATTCCTTGTCTATAAGAAACAATGGAGAAACTCACAGAAATAAACACTTTTCGAGTCAGATAAACGAGGATATCCTCCAAATTTTTGTCAGATTAAGGTTTCAAGGGTACCGATGCAAATCGGACATATCTTTGCTTGGGAAGGTCACTTAAAATTATACTTACAATCCCTTTAAATGTACACTACTATGGGGAGGTTAAGATGTTTTCAAAACACGGGATATCATAATATTTATCTAGGAAATTGATTGTGTTATTTTGTTCTTAACAGTATGTATCGTAAAAAATACACAAAATATAAATCTAAAAAAGTGTTTGAAAAATTATGTTTTCCCATTCACGCTTGGAATTAAAATTTCTTAAAAATGTTTTTTTTTACAAAATTTTTAAAACAATTTTAATTCTATGTGACCTCTTTATATTCTTTTAATTTTCTTTCTTTTCTCTGCTACATATATTTGCAAGTCACTTTTATATTGAACCACAATTGAAAATTGGCAATTATCAAATAGAAAAACAAGCATAACTCCATTATTATCGTTGTAAATCGGACATGCGTTTACAGTTCTTTAAACTGAGTGTACCTGCTGCTACTAGTCCAACAATGATAGATGTAGAAGTAGAAGATGATTGAACCAAAACAGTTACAAGAACTCCTATCATTACGCCGACTACAGGATTCTGAACAAAAATATATCATACTAGCTGAGTGCTCGGCGTTGCCCAGGATTATAACTATATATTTAAAATTCGCTGATGGTGATGGACCAAACCTCTGTAGTCTGTAGAGTAAAAAAAGTAGATGTTATTAGTCCATCATAAAGGGCTTCACTCATATATATATATGTATATATATATATATGTTAGATATGCTAGCTAGCAAACTGCGAGACCAAATTGGCTTATTTTTTAGGGGATAACAAAGGCTAAAAAATCTTTAAAACAAATTTTTAAAGTGTTTTTAATTCCGCCGGCAACGCCGGGCCGTTCAGCTAGTTATCATAAATGTATAGTCATGATTTTATGATTAGTGTCCGTCGGCGGCGAGAGATATTTTAAGAGATATTTTAAAAATGTATTTTTTTTTTTTTGAAAAATAAAAGTCAAAAGAAATAAGAAACTAAGAATGGTTTTCATGATTCACCACATATAATTCTCACTAAAAAAGTTCTTGATTAAATTTTTTCAACTTTCAGTTTTAAAATTTTAGTTTTAAACAAATCCTGTAAAACATTTGATTTTTAATTTTATAACTGCTATCTTAAATATGTTCGGTAAGATTTTGGAATTTTTAAATTTCAAAATGTTGTGTTCGGTCCACTTTTTATCATCGTTTACATTTCATATTTGTTAGGAGCTAATCTTTTCTGAAGTGCGTTCAGATAAAATTTAAAATTTTACGTTCATGTTTAATCAATTTTAAGGTTTTTTCTTTAAACAATATTGTTAAACTCCAATAACATATTTTTTATTTTATTTTAATTTGTCACCTTCAATATTTCTGAGTTTGAGAAGAGAGATCCAATATTTCTTCCCCCCAGTATTCTAAATATTGTAAACAAAAAATCAAATTGTAAACAAACAATAATCTGGATTCTGATATACAATAATCATAGAGAATAGAAAATATAGAGAGGAATTAAAAGAATCTCTCGGTATGAATTTTTTCAGTCCCTTTCAGCCATAGAGAATAGAATATATAGAGAGGAATTAAAAGAATCTCTCGGTATGAATTTTTTCAGTCCCTTTCAGCCTGAAAGGGAGTTCAAAGTGTACACATCATGTAAATGTTCACAAATTATATGCAGTAGAGTACATTAATACAGTATGTTCCCTAGACTATTCATTTCAATTTCGAAATTNTATGGCCATCAAGCATAATTCTAAACTATGGCTATCAAGCATAATTCTAAACTATGGCCATCAAGCATAATTCTAAACTATGGCCATCAAGCTTAATTCTAAACTACGCCCATCAATCATAATTCTAAACTATGGCCATCAAGCATAATTATAAACTATGGCGATAAAGCATAATTCTAAACTATGGCCATCAAGCATAATTCTAAACTATGGCTATCAAGCATAATTCTAAACTATGGCCATCAAACATAATTCTAAACTATGGCCATCAAGCATAATTCTAAACTATGGCCATCAAGCTTAATTCTAAACTACGCCCATCAAGCATAATTCTAAACTATGGCTATCAAGCAAAATTCTAAACTATAGCCATCAAGCATAATTCTAAACTATGGCCATCAAAAATAATTCTAAACTATGGCCATCAAGCATAATCCTAAACTATGGCCATCAAGCATAATTATAAACAACGCCCATCAAGCATAATTCTAAACTATGGCCATCAAGCATAATTCTAAACTATGGCCATAAAGCATAATTATAAACTATGGCCATCAAGCATAATTCTGAACTATGGCTATCAAGCATAATTCTAAACTATGGTCATCAAGCATAATTCTAAACTATGGCCATCAAGCATAATTCTAAACTATGGCCATCAAGCTTAATTCTATACTACGCCCATCAAGCATAATTCTAAACTATGGCTATCAAGCATAATTCTAAACTATGGCCATCAAGCATAATTCTAAACTATGGCCATCAAGCATAATTCTAAACTATGGCCATCAAACATAATTCTAAACTATGGCTATCAAGCATAATTCTCCAATTGAAATAAATTGAAGAATATTGAAAGGTAAAACAGAGATTTAAAAGACATAAAATTTCTTACAAATAATATAAAAATGTAGAAAGCAAAATGTTTAAAACTACCTAAAACTATCGGAGAGGAATGAGAGAGAACAAATAAAAAAGTAAAGACAGATAAGAAGAGAAGCAACCTGAAACCAAGAATCTATTAAATATAAAGACAGAGAAGAAGAGAAGCAACCTGAAACCAAGAAGTTATTAAATATATAAAGACAGAGAAGAAGAGAAGCAACCTGAAACCAAGAATGTATTAAATATATAAAGACAGAGAAGAAGAGAAGCCACCTGAAAACAAGAAGTTATTAAATATATAAAGACAGAGAAGAAGAGAAGCAACCTGAAGCTAAGAATCTATTATATATATAAAGACAGAGAAGAAAAGAAGAAACCTGAAACTAAGAATCTATTAAATATATAAAGACAGAGAAGAAGAGAAGCAACCTGAAGCCGAGAAGCTATTATATTAATATAAGTTTCAATCTCGAGTTTGTCTGTTTGTTTGTCCGATCATAACTCAAAAGTCAGGAAACCCTTGAGCGGTTTGCCTCAATATTGATTAGGAAACTCGGGAGAATCACGGGAATGTTCTTAGCTTGTTTAAGGAGCTATGTTTCCCGGTAAAATCAACCAAGTGCGGGTAAACGGCGGAAGTAACTATGAGTAATCAGAGTCCGAATTTAATGAATTTGAACCGCGTCTCAACTCAAATCCGCCAAAAACAGGCTTCAATTGAGCGCCGATGCCAAGCAAAGATGTGTTAAAGCTAGTATATTGTATCCAAGCCATATCACAGATATTTTGGACAGAGAAAAATGAAGAAAAAAAACTTTAAATCACTTTCCATTTTTTGTGAACACTCTCTTAAATTTGAAAATGTGTTGAATGTTACCTTAGCGATGATCACCAATATTTCCTTCATTTTTCCAACCCTACCAACCACAGCAGTAGTCATAGTAGGAGCCAAGGGATAGGAATTCTTAACAAAAAAATATAAACATTTTAAAGTTTAATTAGATTTTTTTAAATATCGTTTTTCTTTTCGTTTTGGAACAAAATAATCTCCAAACGAGCTTTCAACATGAAAAACGATCAGTTCTCTGCCAATACAAAATATTTGTAAATAATAATGATTCCGGGGATTTGTTTTTGCCACAAACCTAAATTTTTATCCCTTTCTCTTTCATACCCGAAGTTTTGAAATACTAAAGGTTTACACGATCAGGATCTAAAGATAAAGGGATTAGAACATTTTAGTTTGTGGCAAAATCTCAGTTCCTCTAATTTTTTTTAACAAAATGCTTGGCAATGAGAATGATTGATAGATGGGGGAATTCAAGGTTCCTTGAGATATTCACGTAATAGAATATTTCAATGACAAGTATATTTCTGCTTTATATATATATATATATATATATCCTTGGGATTTAAAGCTTTAGAAAGCTCTGATTCGTATCTTTAAAGCCTATATATATAATAAAACAAGACATTCCTATATATGTCATCAATAGCTGGCCAAACGGCTGGACCGAATAGGCGTTTTAGGCATAATTTTTTTTTCTACGGGCAACGCCGGGCCCTTCAGCTAGTATATTATATTTTATTTTATATCAGTACTTTTGTATGTAAAGTAATGTGTTTGAAAACATGAATAATTTTCATTTAACTTTAGCTTAAAGAGACTGTAAGCGTAACTTAAAGTGCATAAATTTTCTTTTTCTATTCAATCAATTTCTGAAACATTTAAAGGGCCAGTAAGCCTAAATTCAGGTGACCTTCCATGCAAAGATTGCGATGTCCGATTCACAACGGTACACTTAACAGCTTTGTTTATAATTTTGAACACTGAATATTTTCCATTGTAAGTTCTCTCTAAAAGTGACTTGCGCATTTCTACTTTAGGAAAAGATAATTTTTGAATTTTTAAACAACATCCTTCACATTATTCATCATCAGATAAAGGGTTTTCAAGGGTACCGTTGTGAATCAGGCATTGACATCTTTACATGGAGGGTCGCTTGAAATTACGCTTACAGCTCCTATAATCTGATAAACTTCTCTGGCAAAACAAATTGTTTAAAATTTTTGAATTCTCCTTTAAACTAAATATTTGAATTCTCCTTTAAACTAAATATTTGAATTCTCCTTTAAACTAAATATTTGAATTCTCCTTTAAACTAAATATTTGAATTCTCCTTTAAACTAAATATTTGAATTCTCCTTTAAACTAAATATTTGACCAAACTCGACTGAATGTTGAAGGCTGAAGGGTATACAATCTAGGGAAAAGTACATTTAACTTTAACTTTAAGAGTCATATATTATCCAGATGATATCAGACCTGCGTCAGCGGATTCGTATTTTTCTGGGATCTGAAACTGTATCGAGAGCTTTCGCAGAAACCGTGGAAGTTATAAACAGAGCTTTTTTAATGAATATTTTATGAGAAACAAAATTTGAGATTCATCGTAATTTGCAACAAGAATAGACTGTAAAATTTGATTTAATTTATAAATTCGTCATTCATCACAGTTAAAAGATGGTTGTCTTTTTACCATACAGTGAGAACCAGAAAATTGGAAGACGACTTTAAGACTTCTGACTTTACATAGTAGAAATCACATGAAACTCAGTAATTGTGCAGTGTAAACAGACTCACAGAATTTAATAAATTACTAATTCTCTGTGTATGTAACCAAGAATTATGTATAAGTTTACTTTCCCAAATCTTGCAGTAAATTCAGTTTTTAATTTTGGACAGAACTCACAATGAAACCCTTAATAGCGAATACATCGGAAGAATTTGTCAAATGTCGTCTTGACAATTTTTCAATGAGTTTTATACTATATTTCGTAAATTTCAGTATTTGCGAAAATAAATAAATAAACATGAATATGCGGGAACATTTTTAAAGAGTTCCATATAATCATTTAAGATTCACAATGGTAACAAATCAAATCAAGAGATTTGATCTTTCTTTAACAAAAAACGAAAATATCTTCCGCCCTGTTAATTGGACATAAATGTTGCGCTTAAAATTAAGGGTTTTAGGAAAGTACGTAACTACGTAAATATAGTCCTTTTAAACTTCGAATTTCGTTATTTTGTTTAATCTATTATCGATTATTGTTTCTTCAAACTATTGGCAACCCAATGAAAGGGACTGTAAGCCTAATTTCCATTTATAGAGAGAAAAGTCCGATTCACAACGGTCCCCTTTAAACCTTTGTCCGGACAACGATGAGGTAGATACCCTCATTTGTACAGCTGAAGAATGTGTTCAGAGCCTCAAATTTAAAAGAGTATCGATAACCGAAACTCCCGCTTTTCCTTTTCGGGGTCTTAATAGTTGTGTAGATTTTGATTTAAGAAATTTGAAAAACATCTAGAATATGAAGAAACTAAATAAAATGATATTTAATAGCAAAAATATTGATCTCCACAAAACTGCCTAACCCCATAACTGAAACCCGGGTTCCAAAACTGGTTTTCATAAAGATACACTGTCTTGAGTTTTGTGCTCAGAGTCCGAAATTTAAAAGAGTATCGTCGAACGAAACTCCCAAGTGTCCTTTTTGGGATCTTAACATTTTGTAGATTTTGATTAAAGAGATTCGACAAAAATGGAGAATATAAAGAAACTAAATAAAATAGTATTTCATGACAAAAATATTGATATCCACAAAACTGACTAACCCCATTCGTGAAACCTGGTTTTTAAAACTGGTTTTCATAACGATACCCTGTCTTAAGTTTTGGGCTCAGAGCCCAAAACTTAAGACAGAGTATTGTTCTGAAAACTAGTTCTTTTAAATTTCAGGCTCAGGGAGAATCGATGTTACAGTGCACACTCGTAATAGAGTACACTTGTGCGGTTTCTTAAAATTTAATTTCCCGCTCAGTAAATCAGAACATGTTTAAAGAGTATCTGTGTAAATCGGACAAGCCGCTCTATAAGTGGTAGGTCACTTGAAATTACGCCTACAGTCCCTTTAACGGGGGTATAGATATGTACAGCCTCGTGATATATATATCCTGGATACTTGCCAGCAAATCCTTCACATGCTTTATATTCTTTTTCGTTTAATAATCATCTAACAAAATGTCTATAATGATAACATTTTTTACATTTTTTGTCAAAAAACAAACATTTTTTATCCAAAATTCCAACGCAAAATAATACGTGCAGACCTTTCGTCTTTACTTGCAGCAATGCCCGAAAAAAAACTCTTTTGGTAAACAAAGATCTCTTAAATTCGTATTCGTTTATATCATAAATATTAAAATTAAGAATTTGTACTCACAAAACATTATAAATTCCTTAATTCCTTAATTGGTTTCAAACAACTCCAACTCTTCATTGAAGTTTAAATTAAATTTTTTAAATTTTAAAAAGATGAAAACTTAAATAATAAAAAAAAATTACCCAAAAATGCAAATATGTGTAAACCAGTGTTTTCTGTTTTCTTAATTCGTCAAAGAACTTGCAACATTTTCCAAGACATACTGCTCCACTGAAAATATACAAAACACAATAATTACATATAATTGAAATATTAAAAAATAATTTAAGATGTAGATTTTTTCAAGCACATAATGTGCTTGAATTGCACATACAGTCAATGAGCTTGAGCACATACACTACAGGGTGTCCCAGGAAACATGACAGTTGGTGAATAGTTTTAATGTCTTCTTCCATAATGTGTTAAGTTCTATAATACCAAGGAGAATAATAAAAAACATCGCTTGGTAGTGTTATTATAATAAAGTTGATATCAAAGCAAAAGATAATTGAGTAAAAGATTTTTTAGCAAAATAAACTGCAAAAAGTCTTTATAACATATAGTTCTTGATATTGAAAGACATTCAAAACTATTTACCAACTGACATGTTTCATGGGACACCCTGTATGTAGATACAACTCAAAACACAGCAAAAACACACGATCTAATCACCTCAAATCTTTATAATTTGATATTAAACTATAAATTCGGTCAATATCAAAGGTTTACACAATCAGATTGCAAAGATATAATGATTTATAAAAGAAGAGTTTTAGGCAATATATCAGTTCCTTTACAGCCCGAAAGAAGAAGGTCTAAGTTGTTTGTCTGTACACGAATGAATATATTAACAAGCCGGATAATTAGATCTTTTATATAAGAAAGCTCAATGTGCATTCACTTAAACATATTTAAATCAATGTAATGCAAGAATTAACTGGATTAATCTAACCAAGAGATGGGGGGGGGGAGAGGCATTAAAAAAAACATTCAGCTCAATAAACATGGAAATTACTTAAAAATTTTTATTGATCTATTGATTTTATGTCTTCAGTACAGTAATAGGCGATTATATCAATACGATGAATTCTACTTTTGGTTTCAATTTCGATTCATATCAAGCTTTTAAAGAGCATGGATAGGCATAGAAATAGGAGTCAAACGAGCTTCTCTTTAATTGCATGTGAACCTTTAATTCGAAAAAAGCTTAAATAAAAAAATTCTATTCTTTATATCCTTATAATTGCCTGCCACTGATTTGGAAACTATTGTTTTTGGTTGCATTCAAAATGTTTATGTTATTTCTCAATTAGATCGTCAAAATGAGGAATTGTAAAATTGAAATTGAAATTTGACTTTAATTAGGAACCACCATGGAAATCCGTTCTTTAGTGTTTAGTTCTTTAGTTAATTTGTTAAGTTTGTTTCATATTATTTTGTCCCAACTAAAAACTTTATTTAAAAAAATCCTTCTATTTATAAAAATGTTCTGAATAAAGTTAACTCGAACTGCTTATATTGGATTAAACTAACAAACTGGACTCCATGTCTGTCTGAAAAAAGAAAGCTAACACTCTGCTAAACGTTAAAAAAAGCTCAGCATGGAAAAAGTGAAAAATAATAAAATTATTTAACTCATCACCTTTATTTTTATATTGCACATAATCAGGAGTTTAAGAAGGAGTTAATATTCTTCCAGAGAAGGAGAAGGGGGCGAACTGGTCACAGGAGATTTATGCAGTTTATAAACTATATTATCCTAAGAAACCTCCTTTCTCGACGTACATACAGTCTCTCTCTCTCTCTCTCCCTCTCTCTCTCTCTCTCTAACTTTCTACTTTTTTCATACTGTGTTGCTCACACGATTTTCAAGTTACATTTGTATTATATATCTGTATCTGTATCTGTATTTGAATCTGCATTTGAATCTGTATCTGTATCTGTATTTCTGTATCTGTATCTGCATCTGTATCTGTATCTGATATCTGCATCGACATCTGCATCTGCATCTGTACCTGTATCTGTATTTCTGTATCTGTATCTGTATTTCTGTATCTGTATCTGTATCTGTATCTGTATTTCTGTGTATGTATCTGTATCTGTATCTGTATCTGCATCTGCATCTGCACCTGTATTTGTATCTGTATCTGTTTCTGTATCCATGCATCTGCAATCTGTTCTTAAACATTAGAACAAAAATATCTCTATTTAAAATTCAAAATTGTCAGTGATTACACTTAGCATTTGTTTGAAAAATTCCGTTAGGTTAATTTTTATATTTCTTATATTTCATATGTTATATAGCTAGGTTAATTTTTGATATTTCTTTTATTTTATACATTATAAAGTTAGGTTAAAGGGAGTGTTCGCGAAAAATGAAAGGGGGTATAGGCTCAATGCGATAAAAAAAACGCTTTTTATCGCTACGAATCTTACTTCTATCTGTTGCGTCTATAAGGAGAAAATTGTTAAAGACGTCTCACACCGAATAACTTAGCAGCCATACAAATTGAGAAAATTGAAACATATTACTTAGACCGTAAAAAAATCAATTTAATTTCAAAACAATCATTTAGATATTACAACCTATAGTCATCGATTATCTTTCGCCACATTTGTATATAGTTTATATTTTATAATATTTTTTTTTTTAGAAAACGTTTTCAACGGATTTTGAAAATTGTGAGTGGTGTGCGGCATTTAGATAGTTGCGCAAGGGACAAGAGAAACAAACAAATAATCCTTAAATAATTCGTAAGATTTTTTCTACTATTAACATTCATTATAACATTGTACAAGTAACCATGACCTATAATTATGTTATTTTTTTTAGGAAATAAAGATTTTGTTATCGAATTTCTGAGATGGGGTTACTCTGTTGTGGGTATTTGTGCGGCCTATCGGGAAAGAATTGTCTGGGGATAATAAACATCCCCCACCAGAATCCTAACTGGCCTATTATCCTGATTTGTCTAGCGTGTTGCTGTTTTCGGTCAACAATTATATAGTTAGGTTAATTTTTGATATTTCTTATATTTTATATATTTGTTGTCGGATAGGAACAAGATTCTCAATAATGAACAGATAGACAACGGAATAACCCTCAAATCAAACCCGATAATGCAGAAAACTCTTTATTTCCTAAAAAAAATGAAATGGATAATAATTCATGAGTTTGTTACAAGTTTTATAATTTTACAATGAAAAGATGCTTACCATCTATTTGGGGATAAGAAGGTTAAACTGTCGGGGAGTCCTAAGACGTTTTTATGTATTAAAACTTCTGAAAAGAATGACAATTAATTGTTAACGAAATTCACTAATTCTTTGTATGAAAATATTTTGTTCACAATAAAAAAGTGTTTAGACTCCGTTTCCGGAGGACAAAGAAAATGGGGCGAAAATTATTTGGTTTGGTGTCTCCGAGAAGGGATTTTAAGTTAAAGACAATATTATATAGTTAGGTTAATTTTTGATATTTCTGTTCACCTATTTTTAAAGTTAAAGAAAGTTCTCCAACCTTTTTACAATTTCAGAAAAAATTTAAAAATAAAAACAATTAAAGATATGTATTATGTTTAATCGTAATATACCATAAAATTATTTTTCAATCCCCCTTCTTGCACTCCCTTCACTTCGTCACACCCCTTTTCTTGCACCCCCTACGCTCAGAAATTATAAAAAATTATTAAAAAATACAAATACAATTTTACTTTTTTCCCCTTTATTTACATTTACTGAATCTTAATTCTTAATTTATTTCCTTTTTTTAGAATTAGATTTAGTTGAAGAAAATGGAAAACATTTTAAAAGTGAAAAGTATATCTTTATATCTTTCTATCTACATAAATAAAAATCTTATTTCTAATTGATTTTTGTATTGTAAAATTTAAATATTATGATGACTCACGCATAAGGATATGTACACAATATACATATATATACATATATAGAAATGCAACACGTGATTTTTCTCAGGGAAAAGCAGTGAATCTGAGAAATGGAATCCGGAGGTGGGAGTGAACGAAGGATGGGGAGAAATGCAAGAATGAATGAAGGGGAGAGGTTGTGGTAAGGATCTAGCTCGAATTTTGGGATAGGTTGGGCCTATACCACTATTTTGCTATAAGGATTGAACCAATCATAGAGCTATTTGCAAAAAACATTTAGAATTGTTAATTTTTCTAATCAAAAAAATAATATGCGATGGTCATATCTGATCATGTAAAATGTATTTTACTTATCACGAGAAATGTTCTTATTTTTATCTTTTATTGCTAGATAAAACAAAGTTAAAAAGTGGGAAATATTTAACCCTTTTCTCAAACAATTTGTTTTTGTGCCAGACACGCACACATCACGGTCTGATCACTGGGTCATAGATAGATAGATAGATAGATAGAAAGAAAAAAAAAGATAGAAAGATAAATATAAAGATATATAGATAGATAGATAGATAGATAGATAGAAAGAAAAAAGATAGAAAGATAAATATAAAGATATATAGATAGATATATAGATAGATAAATAGATAGATAAATGGATAGATAGATAGATAGATAGATAGATAAATAAATAGATAGATAGATTTATATTATAGCTTGTTACAGGGATAGAAAGATAGATAGAAAGTCACCTGAGAAAGCACAAGATTTGCGACTGAACAAATAACGAATAATGTAAAGTATATTATTAATATCTATAAACGTCTTTAATTTCTATTAAAAATTTTAGTTTTTAACTGTTGCTCTAAAAGTTTCAAATTTTCGTGGTTTTGTCTGTTTGAATTGGTGCATTTTCAAAATGAAGCCACAAAAAATGTGGGCCTTGCTTTATATTGATTCAAACAAATAAACAGTCAAAATTGAAAAATAATGTACGTATAAATAATAATAATAATAATAAATATATAAATAATAAAAATAATAATAAATATAAATAAAAAATTATGTTATATAAATATGTTTGTGAATATCTATGAAAATGTATGTTATATAAATATGTTTGTGAATATCTATGAAAATGTATGTTATATAAATATGTTTGTGAATATCTATGAAAATGTATGTTATATAAATATGTTTGTGAATATCTATGAAAATGTATGTTATATAAATATGTTTGTGAATATCTATGAAAATGTATGTTATATAAATATGTTTGTGAATATCTATGAAAATGTATGTTATATAAATATGTTTGTGAATATCTATGAAAATGTATGTTATATAAATATGTTTGTGAATATCTATGAAAATGTATGTTATATAAATATGTTTGTGAATATCTATGAAAATGTATGTTATATAAATATGTTTGTGAATATCTATGAAAATGTATGTTATATAAATATGTTTGTGAATATCTATGAAAATGTATGTTATATAAATATGTTTGTGAATATCTATGAAAATGTATGTTATATAAATATGTTTGTGAATATCTATGAAAATGTATGTTATATAAATATGTTTGTGAATATCTATGAAAATGTATGTTATATAAATATGTTTGTGAATATCTATGAAAATGTATGTTATATAAATATGTTTGTGAATATCTATGAAAATGTTTTTAAAAGGCACGTATAGCCTCTTTCCAGACATGGAACAATTTTGCAATAGTGTACGTAATTTAATCTTATTTTATATCTTATCGAAAAAAAATATATTTTTGGTTTGAAAAAAACATCGTTTGTACTTGTTGTCTTTTTATGAAAATAAAAGCTAAGGCTATCAATGTGCATTTTTGCAAAAAAAAATATTAATTTGAAAGAAATGAAAGTAATTTTAGCTGACGTGCATATTTTTAATATTTCGAAAATTGGGTAATTAATATTTTGGAAGATTATAATAATAATAGTTAAGTTTTTTGGGGGCGTAAATAATTTACAATATTCTTACGTAAAATTGTAGACAAATGTTGAGCACCTAAGGGATAAAGCGAACAATAGCTTAGGTCCTAGGTGTTCAGTTAGTGCATAGTTATTACAATTCTAATTCTTATTAGGTGGGGGTGCAGTTTAAGGTTGTTTAGAGGGTGCAGTTTAAGGTTGTTTAGAGGGTGCAGTTTAAGGTTGTTTAGAGGGTGCAGTTTAAGGTTGTTTAGAGGGTGCAGTTTAAGGTTGTTTAAAAACACACTTTTTTCTCACAAAGGCTTATTTTTACCCGTTCATAATGAAATTAATATTACAAGGTCTCTATCTAGGATGTTAGGACTGTGTGAAAAACAAATTATTGGATTTGGTGAACCCTGCTCTAAATATATGCTATGGGATGGATATTACAACACCTTGTGTCAACTAAAAACCTTTTGAGTTCTGACTTGTGAACAAAAACTCGTAATCAAATCAATTACGAAACTTGTTTTGAAAACAATGAGCTGTAATATTTATGTATATTGGAATCAAGCAAAGAGATACAAATGTTAAATTGCTTATATTTTCAATACCCGATTTTGCACATCACAAGATTTATCTTTAAAACTTTTGTGGATAGTGTGCAGAATGTTTGCGCAATATTTGTGCCAAATTCATTTAATTCCGTTGCACCCCGCGACCGGTGGGTTCCTTCCCCGACTCCTAGCTCCCTTGTACGTGAAGTGATCCGGCTGGCAAGGACATTTTGTTCATAATTAACTTTTAAAATTCTTTATTTCATAGTGGTTTAATAAATGGCAAGTCTGGAAAATATTAGATATAAAAAGATTGAAGCTAAAACGGTTAAATACATCTATTTTCTTTAATTG